CTCTTTTTTTACATTCATGTACTGGTTCTGTCTTTCAGCTTACACATTAGCTCACATACAAAATAACAAACGCACTTGACATTTATTGATAGACATATCATATGAATACTACTACAGCTGTGACTATTCTACTGCTAGCACCTTTATTTATTGACTGTCAGTATATTCTGCTAAACTACTACAACATCCTCTACCTCCGTCCCATATGAGCGAGTGTTTGGCGGACGGCGCTGTCAACAGCCTGGCAGGAGAGACGCTCTGCGGTGCGCTGTGATTTTAACTTACAACTCAACTGTTTTCACATCACAGATGATGGACAAAGGCAGTAAAACGTGGGTGTTACAGGTTAAACATGACAGTAATACGTGAGGTGTATTGAAGAAAAGACATTGGTAATAATGTTGAGTGTTTTATAAAAACGATAAATATCGATAGATAAGAAAAAGCACATAAGATGGATGCAACCCGAGTCAAGTGCCAAATCCTGATTCGGGGACAGACGTACTACTACGACTGCTGCTGTTATTATTTACTTTATTTCATTCTATGTTCATTTAGCAGGGACAATGCATAATACACGTATTGTAACAGATATAGGAAAAAACTAATTCTGTCGGGACGAGGTCACTAGTCTGCAGCTTACAGAGACAAAATATGAGTAGTTAAATAAAAACCTTACACTTTGTAAGGGTGTGTGTTTGCAAGATAAAACAGCATCTGAAAAACTAAGAAACAAAACACAAGAATAACAATCACCCCGAAACAAACAACAGCAAACCATATTACTATGGTTACTGCCACCTCTGTTACTATGACTACCACAATAATTCATACCTAGCTGTCACTAATGTGATATTTAATATCGCACTTGCTGACATACTAGTTACCATATAACAGAATTTTGTCGTCGAGAGTTTGTTTTCAGTATCTCATTTATATCACAACTTTATTTTTACACACACGGCGTTCTCTGCGTCTCGGCCTGTGTTTCTCATACAAACAAGCTCATACGAACAGTGACTGATGAGCAGAGGGTCCATGTTAAGGGCCGCGGTAAATAACCGGAGACCTTCCACTATTTATCTCCCTGCTCGTCTCTGCCAGAGACACTGGAGCCAGTCAGCGGGTATTTTCTGTCTTGTGACCTTGTCCATGTGACGTAGATGTGCTGCGTCACTGGTTTATTCACCAAAGTCTCTTTTTTTTTAATCATTTATAATTGCATAATCACATATTCACTTTATCTCATCCTGCAAGTCCCTTAAGTCTTAAGAAGTATTATAATTATTATAGAAATGTTGGAGCAAAATTAGTGTTTTTTTAGGAGTATCTGCACAATTCCCTTCCTCGCTTCCTCCCTCTCTTCTCCCCATGGTCATCCAAGCCAAACAAGCGAGCAGCAGGAGACTGCATGTACCATTCGTGTGTGTGTGTGTGTGTGTGTGTGTGTGTGTGGCTGGACAGCAGGAGACAGAGCACTGGGTTCATGGGAATATAAGAGAGTGTGTGTGTGTGTGTGTGTGTGTGTGTGTGTGTGTGTGTTAAGTAACTTCTCTCATGTTGAGACCGGAGGTAAGACGCAGAAACTCATCAGAGCCAATTGGAAACAGACACACACGCATAAAGACAGGGCCTTACCTTTGTATGCACTCACACAAGCAAATATGCATGGACACAAACACACACACACACACACACACACACACACACACTCTCTTACCTTCATCTACCTTCTCTAAACTAGCATGCATTCCCTCTCTCTGACTCACACACAGGGTTATTAAACAGACAGAGTAGTCTTTGTCTTTCAAGTACACAAGTATACTCCTACTGCTTGTTGGCTCAGCTGTGTGTGTGTGTACATCTGCTCAGGCCTGTGTGTGTGTGTGTGTGTGTGTGTGTGTGTGTGTGTGTGTGTGTGTTGCCAACAGACCGTCTGAAGTCTTCTCTAATGACATCCATCTAATCCACTAAAGAGTTTCAATCCAAAACAAGATATCCCCGTCTTTAAAATGGCCGTGGATGGAGAGCAGAAATCATTACGGGATGTTTGTGGAATCACTTCGTGGACTTAAAGGAGCAGTCTGGCATTTTGAGAGAATTCTCGCCGCTCTCGTCTTCACGTAGAGTCGGAGGAGATCAATCAAAAATTTAAGTGCTAAGCTTTTTTGAGCTGAAGAGTGACATGAAAGGGGGAGAGAGAGCGAGAGAGGGAACGACACAACGCCCACACATCGAGTCGACCCCATGACCCCTGCAGCAAGGACTCGGGCCCCTTTCATTCTGGTCTCTTTTTATATACAATTTATTTCTTTGGATTTAGACTGTTGGTGAGTCAAGCAACCTGAAGATGTCACGTAGAGCTCCAGGAACTTGTGATATGAGCTTTTTTTATACACTAATGCCCAAACTAGATAAAAGTGTCTGACACACGCATTTTGAAGTATCCCTTTTGTTTTAAATGTCCGAACACACAGGAAAAGCACGTTGCATTGAATGTTTTTGGTGCTTGTTGGGAACATTTGAAACAATAGGCATAATTTAAAATGTGCATCAGATGCTTTCAGTTTGTTTGGGCCTTAAATGACTGGAAAAAAAACAAAACATGGACAGATTCAGTTTACCTTTATGCAAATGAGTGCTAGATTTGCCTGGAAGCTATGTCGCAATTTGCTTAAAAACTGACTCTGGCCCTCGTAGGCAGCACATCCTGCTATAGCCCCAAACCTCCTGTGCAACCGGCCCCAATGCTTCACTGACTAACTGCTGAGTTGACTATTAGGGGACATCCCTCGTTGACACATACACATTGCTTTGAATACAGCGCAATTTGTTTGCTTTCTTTTTTGGTCTTCACCATTATACCCTCAATTTGATTTACTGTTCCTTTTAAGACTCTTAATTCTGATTTAAAATTGACAAAACCTTTTCAACTTAAGGTACACTTACTAGCTTTTCAACACGTGTCAAGGTCTTCCTCAGTGAGCAGATTTAGCTCAGTTGTCATGGAGATCGCGTAGTTTCCATCACATGACCGATACCATACTTGCAGTACGGTGGATGGCTGTGTATGGGGAAGGATGGTGAAACTCCAGTTGCTGAGGAAGTCTGTGAGATGCATTTGAAAGCTCAGTAAAACACTAGTGAATGTTTGAGTTGAGAATTTCTTCTGTTTTCAGGAAACGTCCGTACTCGATATTTGAATATAACTCCCGAACAGATGATTTCAAACAGACAAAAACGTTTTGTATATGCGGTATGTACGGAATACGGGTCTTTTTTGTTTTCAGGCCTCAGTCACCTTGGCTCGGTCCGTCTGTTCTGCTGAGTCTTCAGAGTCCAAGGCTTTCACAACAGTCGCTGCGAATGAACTGACGCACTTGTGGTCAGACCTGGCCTGGAGTTTGTTTTGCTCTCATGGCACTGAGTCACGGCCCGACAAAAATCCCTGGAAATATGTTTTTTCAACTGACGTGCTCTGGTTTTAACTTCTCGTTGAACCCACTCTCTGGATTTCCACCTGTTTTTTCTTTTTTTTCTCCCCCGTGTTGGCTGGTTTTGTTTCATGGAATTGGTCCGACTCTGCACGAAATGCCAGGAGTCTTTGGTATGTGCTGAAATCACCTCAGGCTTTTTTTGTTCATGTTGGTGAGGCCCAGGCCGTCCAGTGGAATATGACTGATCTATGGTACCTCTCGTGTGTTCTGCATTACATTGTCTTTCTGTATATGAACCAGACTCGGGTGCCTCGTATATGCATCCGTCTGAGAGCTCTGAGGCATTGGCAGTATTGGTTTGTCCGACTGTCCACCAGTTTGGTCCAGACTCAAATATCTCAGCAAATGTTGGACAGATTGCAGTGGAATTGAGCAGAAATATTCATGATACCCAGAGGATGAATTCCAGTGATTTTTAGGTGAAGCCCTGACTTTTCCTCTTATGCACCCTGCGGTTTTGAGTGAAATATCTCGACTTCTATATCAAACGGACTGCCAAGACATTTGACATAGAGAAATCTGATCCCCCTGATGTCTCATCGACAACACCAACACTCTGGTTCGTGACCAAATACCTGCAAAACTAATGACAATCCCATCAGCCGCAGCTGTACTGTGTGTTTAGTGCTACTTAACAAATGTTAGCGCTGAACTAACCTGATGAAAATTGCAAACATTATACCTGCGAAACATGTTAGCGTCTGCATTGTGAGCATGTTTTCTATTCCTCACAGAGCTGCTAGCATATCTGTAGACTGTTTACACTTTTCTAAACAATTTCTTGCTACTTTAAACCTACTATAAGGAGTTTTTAACTGGTTATTGAAGAGTCTCAGTTTAATACTGATGCCTCTATATGACTTAAACAAGAAGAAGATCCCCTGTTTCTATGTGGTTTTTCTTAATGCCTGCCTCCAGGTCAAATTCGGCTGGATTCCCCTTGAAACCAATTAAACGAGGCGGTGGAAACACCACCGCTTCTGTCCACAGGGGGCGCCAGAATCAGCACAAAATGAAAATTCCTCTTTAAATACCCTTAAATGATCCACAATATGGGGAAAAGCATTTACAAACTCAACCAGAAAGACCGAGAGGACGATATGTCGGTTGAGGAGAGGAGAAGGTTTTGTGCAACAGCTCAGTGTTTTGGACTCTTTGATGTTTTCCACTGTTGTGAATTTATTTCAATTTCTTTTAAATGATCCCCGAAAAGCCTGTGTAAATATTCATCACCAGTCAGTTTCACAATCCAGCTCTTCAAAGTCCAAACGGAGATTTTCCAGGAAAGCAGCTGCATTCTTCAAAAAAAAAAAAAAGAGGAGACAAAGAGGAGAAAGTGTACTTTGGCGCTCTGCTGCAGCGACTGTGTGCAGATGTGAAAGTACAAAACTGTGAATAAGAAAAAAGAGAATTTTTAAAAACCAATAAAGACAGAATTTTGTCATAATGAACGCTGTGACGTGATCTCTCTCTGTTGTGTGTGTGTGTGTGTGTGTGTGTTAGTTCTTCACAGAGTACGGACCTGACTACTCGCTGGAGATAAGCCCAAGCTGCCGACCAGACCGCAACGACACCAAACACCTGGACCAGGTCATCAGCACCATCAAAGGTATGTGTGTGTGTGTGTGTGTGTGTGTGTGTGTGTTATGTGTCTATGCTTGTGTGGACTCACAGGTGTGTCTGTTTGTGTGGGTGTGGAGGGTAAACAGGTGTGTGTGTGTGTGTGTGTGTGTGTCTCTCCCTGAACCCTTGCTCACCTAAAGCCCTTTTGTCTCTGCGTGGCTCTTTTTATGTGTGGTTTCATGTGTCTGCTCTTGTTTCTATACGTCTCTGTGTGGGATGAAAGTATGACTTGTTCTTCTTCTTCTCATCCCCTCCCTCCTCCCTCTCCTCCCTCTCTCCCTGTGGCTCTTAACATCCTTTTTGTGTGTGTGTGTGTGTGTGTGTGTGTGTGTGTGTGTGTGTTTGTGAATATACTGCTGACCTCGCTCTTTTACCCACAACCTCAACCAGAGTCTGGGTCTTAAATACATGTGGTATTTGTTCCTTTCTGCATCCTCTCTCTTTCTATATGTTCCTTTTTAATACGTGTGTTTGTATATTAATCTGTGTGTCTGTAGCCTTTGTGGTTGAAGCTAAAAGCCGGGGGCCTTTAGTCTCAGCGCTGACAGCCCGCAGCACCCAGGAGGGATCCTCCGGCAGGGTGAAACTCAGGCGAAAAGTTGAGCGGCGGGAGAGTTATTGTAAGGAGGGCAAGGTTAGGAACAAGCGAGCAGTACGTCTACGAGTCGAGGTTCATTTTCCGAACATTAAACTGTATGTTACCAGATTAGTTTTTTTTTTTTTTTTGAGAGTCAGAATTTGATGATTCGGTGTCTCGTAAATGTGGAAGATCCGCCGTGTTGAAGTGTTAACCACAGACCAACAGGAAATCCTCCTTCCTTTCCCTCCGTGAGTGAAATGTTATATTCGACACAGCAGTTATCCATTCGCTATGTGTGTGTGTGTGTGTGTGTGTGTGTGTGTGTGTGTGTGTGTGTGTGTGTGTGTGTGTGTGTGAGTGTGAGTGAGAGAGAGATATACTGATTATGAGCCCGGGAGGAATTAAATATGGCCACAATCTGGTCACATCGCCATGTTTTGTGATTGAAAAGTTATGTAGAAAAATGTCAGATCTATATTTCATTTTATTCAGTTCAGTGTTAAACGAGTTTGGAAGAAGTGAAAGCTTCATTTGGATTTTGTTTCCTCCAAACCACAACAGGCCAAAACTAGCTTTTGGTGCACCAAACAATCCAACATTTTACTGCTAAATTTAGGCCATTGTTTTTATGTCTCCAGTGACTTTTATAACTTTCTTTCATCCAGGATATTTTGACTCAGCACTTTTTTATTTTCAGCAACACGACTGTCGTAACCAAGTGTGAACCTGACGTGACTTCACCCTTTGGTTTCCCATTTAGAAGCCTCAAGTTTGGCATTATGGCCGTCGGCATGTCGTTATTTTTGGTGCCAGAGCTCATTGGCTGCGCAGTTTCAACTCGTCTGTAGCAGGAAACAATGGCCGGCTCGACTGGTCAAACACGATCTCGTATTACAGCTAAACAGTAAAATATGTTTCTCAAACGATTTTATGTGAGAAAAAGTCAACGCAGTAACAGAATCTGGATCAGCACTGCCTAGTTTGACAGTTTGATCTGAGTTTGGTGCGTTGAGCTGGACGGACTCACTGAGAATGAGCTGTCAATCACAAGGGAGCCCCGCCCTAAAGCTTACCCTGCTTTATGCTCTATTTTATTCTAAATTGAAGCATAATTTAATAAATGAACATCATGCTGTATGGTAGAAGACTTGAAACTCGAGATTGAGACCAGGAAACTGTTTCCTGAGATAATAAATCAACTGAGAAGTCGGTTTATTTCTCCATTAGACTGCATGGTATAGTTTTTTATTACAGCCAATGGCCATTAGAAAGAATATGTTTGGAAGCTTTATCCACTAATTCTTTACTATCGGTGGTCTGACACACCTTTGTGCTTGTATTCAGCACACAAAAGGACATTTATCTATGTGTATGCTCCCTATTAATACACCAATTAACTTCATGCAGCCCATTTATTGATCTTGTGTACTCTGTCTTTATAATGTATAACTTTCCTCCCCTTTTGTAGCTGTTCCATTGCCTGTTTTCCATGTGAAAGATGATGTGACATTTAAACTTGCATCACTGCTTTTGCACAACAACACCTGTGTTGTGTAATAAGTTACACTGAAACAAATAATCAGAGCTCACAGAGAGAGTTTGAGGGTCAGAAAGTTAGCTTTTTGGTGTTGATGCCCCCGGGGGAGGTACTCAGCAATGTCAATGAAGAGCTGATAATCATATGACAGCATTTTTTTTTTTTTACATGTCTCAGTTGGGACTGGTGTTTGAAAAGCTTGGAAAACTTCAGCTCAGTGCGAATGGAAAGCCAAAACGAAAGAGCGGGGGGAAAAAAATACAGCATACATGGTATCAATTAGCAACTAAAACTTCATAAATTTAACCAGCACAGGTCAGCGAACGACAGAAATACCCCCGGTTGGATGCAGCGGTGGTTTATCCAAACAGCATTAAGCTCTCTCCGCTCTGAAAAACTCCAGGTCACATCAAATCAGAGGAACAGGAGTTTTTATGCGCCGAAATTCAGTTGGTCTGTTGGCTCGCATTAAATCATCACAACCGGAGGGGTTGAAAGTATCGCTGGTTTCCAGTCATACGGCTTTTATTAGGGGGCGACTGAGGGAACGAGTGGATGAACGGATGGACGGAGAGAATAAAAGGGAGGACAAATGAAACGCAGACAAGCCAAAGATGGAGAGAAAGTGGGAAAACGTGTGTTTGGCTGCTGCGTCCCATCTGTCTCTCCTATCAGATCCCTTGTTCTCTCCTTTCCTGCCTTTGCTCAGTCAGACTTGATTCAGCTTTTTAAGTGTCATTTGCAGTCGCTGCTGGGATGCATTTGATTTTTTTTTTTTAATTCTTCAAAATCTCTCCTGACTATCTGTTATCGTCTCTCTTCATTTTCACCCTCTCATGTGTGAATCCAGTGGAATTTCTCTGTTCCCTGCATCCACTTCTTTCTTCCATTGAGGTTTTGGGTCGTGGTTTCAACCTGTCACATCTGTTTTATGTCCGCTCTCTCATTCTTTTCTTTCTTTCTGTGTCTCTCTCTCTCTCCCTTCCTACCAACTTCTGCTCCCCATCAAGCTAGAAACTTCTCTTTTAGAAAACGAGTTCTGTCACAAAGCGCCTTCACCACACAACAAGCAGCCACCAAAGAAAAACCCCAAAGGAGAAGCGAGCATATTATCATTTTAAATATCAAAGTCTTATTTTAAGTCTCTGTCTCCGATTAAAAGAAACATTTAAGCAACATGTCTAGAGCTACATGTCTGCTAACTAATGCACACACACACACACACACACACACACACACACACCTCTAGGCAAACATATCCACATGACATCATTGGGGTGGATAAGTGTTTCTCTGGTTTGGAAGTGCTGGGCTGCTTATAAACATTGGTTTCCCTGAGAAACTGGGCTGTGTGTGTGTGTGTGTGTCTGTGTGTGTCTGTGTGTGTCTGTGTGTGTCTGTGTGTGTCTGTGTGTGTGTGTGTGTGTGTGTGTGTGTGTGTGTGTGTGTGTGTGTGTGTGTGTGTGTGTGTGTGTCCAGATCTGCTCCGTCTGCTGGCACAAACGGACGGCAAAGATTTGAATCTTAAAGTGTTTTTTCTCTTTTTGTTCATCATGTGTTAGGTCTCAAACCCATATGTTTAACTAACACAACGCACATACATCAATATGTGCTCACTGCACGTTGTTGTGGCAGTGTGAGACAATACCATTAACCCGTTTGCACCCGAAACACTATTTAATACGCTATAACATTTTTTCTGATTGGTCTAAAGTCTTGGTACTTTGTACAAATATCTAACAGTATAACTTTGATCACATGAAAAATCTGACTTTTATTAAAGTGTTTTTTTTAAATGAGGAAAATCTCAGTTCAACTTCATTCAAGTTCATAGATATCAAACGCTCACTGGTGCTCCTTGTGGTTATACTAATTTCTTATACTATATTAAGTCTTTGGTCATATGGGAATACTGTTTATCCCCTAAAATGGTAGAAAATGTCCAATAATAAGCAATAAAAATGGAGGGATTTTCATTATTTTCAGTACACACATGCGACTGACTTCTATCTATATATTCCATATAAATAAAAGTTGAACACAACTATTATTAGTCAGACAGCAGGTGACAATATCTGCTTGAGTTTTACTTTTTTAAAGGTCCAGTGTTTGTGAGTGTAATATTCACAGGTGTGTTTTCATTAGTGTAAAATCACCTGAATATAGAAATCTGTGTGTTTTTGTTAGAATGAGACGTTTATTATCTACAGAGGGAGCGGGTCCTCTTCCACAGAGTCCGCCATGTTGCACCGCCATGTTTCTACGGTAGCCCACAACAGACAAACCACACACTGGCTCTAAATAGGGCCTTTCGTGTTTTTCATGAATTTCGCAGCCACCATACTTTCTTTGGACCTTTAGTGTACTTTTTTAGTAACTTTTAGTATGTTGGTGTGTAATAGTTAGGATATGGAAATTGATCCTTGTTTACAGGTTAATTTAACATTGTTGACAACTAGTTCATGTTGCAGAAATAATAAAACCCAACAAGTTTAATTAATGTCCCAATATATTTATTATTAGCCAGATAACCACTTAATGTACGTGATAGAATAAACAAATAATACACAGAAATAAAGCTGAATGTGCTCGTGTTTTCCTATTAAGGGAATTACTCAGTGTTTCCTATTGTTTCTCCCTCATACAAACACACTGAGCCTTGTTAAGCGGGAGCATTAATTAAAATGTGATTTTTATGAGGTGGCTCTCAGAGGCGGCAGCAGCTGTCTGTGTATTCACAACTCTGTGTTTACGAGACTCTGGTAGCATGATTTCCCCAGGGTGTGTCTGTGTGTGTGTGTGTGTGTGTGTGTGTGTGTGTGTGTGTGTGTGTGTGTGTGTGTGTGTGTGTGTGTGTGTGTGTGTGTGTGTGTGTGTGTGTGTGTGTGTGTGTGTGTGTGTGTGTGTGTGTGTGTGTGTGTGTGTGTGTGTGTGTGTGTGTGTGTGTGTGTGTGTGTGTGTAAACTGCCAGCCTCTCTGTGTGACTGTATTTTATCTGTGTGCAAATGTGTGTGTCAGCATGGAAATATTGCAGCATCTTTACAATCCTGCGACTCTTCTTCTCCCCAGTGCTGATAAGATATGCCTATCATGTCACACACACACACACACACACACACACACACACACACACACACACAATTATAAACACACACAAACAAATTAGAATAACACACATTCATGCAAAAATATACACCCAGAAAACGTGACACATGTTCAGAGTAGAGATATGTGCACATTTTAAAGTCAAACGAGGGAGCTGGTGAACAAATACCACCTAAGAAACAGACACATGTGCGGTGTAATACCCACCCACAGACGCTGTGATAGATTAACGTTTGCAGGTAGTAAATATCACCGGCCCCCGTGGACGTTCGTCACTTTACCAGAATTTACAGTCTACATCTGGAGAGCGAAGAGAGAGCTGAGGGATGGAGAGAGCCGATGAGAGGAAAGGGGGGAAAAGGGGACGAAAGAGGAGTCAATCTGCAACTTTTTAATTCATCTTTTAGTCCGTAAAACATCAGAAAATGATGAATAATGTCCCAAAAGGAGGGAAAAGAAAGGATATAGCACTAAATAACAAACGATTGTAATCAATTTTGTGGGGTTTTTTTAAGCAAATATCCTGTTAGCCGCCTTTCCCTCGGCGTTGCTGAGGGTCTGCTTGTGACCGCTCTTCCTCTTTTCTAAAACAGTTTTTCCTGTTTTTAGCACATGGCGTGATTTTTTTGTCACAGCGGAGAGATTTTATTATTTATTTTTTGTGGGCATTGTTTGCAACCGTTGCCCCAGAAACCCAGTCAGCAACTATCTGTCCTCAGTTGCCTCATGCGGTCTATAAAGTTCATGTATAGAGACGGAGCCCACTATGACTCACTTGTAGCTGTAACTGCCTTTGTCATTGTAATTTACAGCGATCGCTTCCTCAGTGTGCGGTTGTCAAACGTATGGCACATTGTGTAATGTGGTCAGGGGAAAGTCTAAACTATACTGCTGAGTTAACGCCTTTTGATAGGCTCAATAAAAAAGGATTATTAGGGTTCTCTGTATTGTAGTGTAGTGTAAAGTCCGGTATTGGTTCATGTTTAGGCCGAAAGTGGTAATTTATATCACAAGGAACTGTATCAGTTTGGGTCAGACGAAGAAAAAAATATGATTAAGGATCAGTTTGAGTAAAGAAGTGATTCCCAACTCGCTGTATTGTGTGTGGATTTTAGATTTCTATTATCAGATATAAGTTTTAAACTAAGATAATTGATATTTTTCAATTTGGATCTACCTAAAACTCTTAATTTGAAATTGTGTTTTTTATTTAGTATTGATGTTTAATTGCAAAATAATTCAGCGTTTTTATTCTTTATTCTTTATGAACCTCTGATAAAGCTGAAAGGTCCATAAACTAAACTAAATAATACCATCCACATATTTGTATTTAGGAGGAAAATGAACACAAAAAGGTTTACGAGATTGGTTTGATGCTGTTTTTTAAGTGTATTGATTGTAAAAAAGAAACAACCTGAGTCAGTTATAACAGTTGAAACGGTCGGTTTATGACATTCAGGATGTTTGTAGTAGGAATGCAAATCTTTGCAAACGGCAGAAAAAAGGCATCAAATCTAAAAATGTACTGTGTTTTCACAAAGGATTTACATAAACCACAGATCCACCACAGACACAGCGGGGTTAGAGCCCAGATTATTACTTTATATTGATAATTATTATTAATATTTATGAGCATTGTTAGAGAATATTGAGTTAGAAGAACATACATTTCATTTAAGTATTATATACAGAAGTTATAAGCTCAGAAGCTAATTTAGAAAGCGAATGCCTTAACGTTCTATTAAAGGACTACATTACCCATGATGCTCTGGGAGCGGAAAAGGAAAATGTTTTACCTTCATTATCTCGAGCTAAAGAGCTGTGTGTGTGTGTGTGTGTGTGTGTGTGTGTGTGCGTGTGTGCGTGTGTGCGTGTGTGCGTGTGTGTGTGTGTGTGTGTGTGTGTGTGAGAGACCTTTTTCATTCACTAAAGGAGAGTTTAGAAAGTTAAACTAAGTTATATCACATCTATCAGAGAAATCCACTCAAACGTCAAAATAACCACAGTGGAAAGTTCTCACAGCCGCACTCATTTTCTCTCTTTGTCCTGACAATTGTCACTGTTCATGTTACAGCTGGATGATGACGCTGTGGCGAAGGTTGGCCCGGTCGGCGGGAGCGTCTACGTAACGCTGCCAACACACAGTGACCTCGTTAAACGACACTTTGATGTAATAACTTGACAAAATCTAACACATTTTAACTTCATTGTGGTATGAAAACTGCATTTTATTCCGATTTTCCCACATTTTTTGATCAATTATTACAAAATGTGGGAGTTGGACTTTATTTATAAACTGCAGTTTGAATATACGGAAGCTTTTTGAAAGTGTTTTTGAGGAGCCCTGTCAAAAGACCACTGCAGGAGTGAATAAATGAGTTTTGAGTTTGACGATGTTTGTCAGATGATAATAATGAGTTGGTTTTAGACTCAAGATCAGACTCACCTGTAACGCAAGGGGAGGAACCATAGTTAGGAGTTTAATTTAATATTTGGTAGGTTTAATTTAGGGTTAATTGTTAAAAATGTGTGTACAGATGAAGACATTCATTTTAGTTATTAAATAATACACTATATTATTAAATTTTCATCCTAAAAAAAGTGCAACCACTCCACAATATGTAGTAATTTATCACAAAATACATTAACCTAAAGCCTCGCAAACAGGCTGGGCCAGTAAACGAGAGCTTAAAGACCTTCAAGTTTAAATTTGAATCTGTAGAGTCACCTTCTCTAAGATACAAATACAGAACGCGAGGGCGAGAGCGATCCGGAGGACAAACACACATTATTCCAGCGAGCGCCCCGCGATAAAAAGCTGCTGTTGTTGTTGTTGTTGTTGTCGTCGTCACTGTAGGCAGAACACGACAGGAGTCCACTGACAGCTCCACAATGGCCGACACACAGGACATCCTCCCTCACTGCGTCAGTGCAATAACTACATTTGTCAGGATAATTACTCATCCACTGAGCGTGTGTGTGTGTGTGTGTGTGTGTGTGTGTGTGTGTGTGTGTGTGTGTGTGTGTGTGTGTGTGTGTGTGTGTGTGTGTGTGCGCGCAACATGTTTGTTTTTCCCAATCAGGCATTTTAACATAACAATAGACAAACAAAGCAACATTGTTTGCAGGGCAACATATAAAGTAAACCGACGACTAGACTTTATAATGCATCTATTGTGTCAGGCCGTGTGTGTGTGTGTGTGTGTGTGTGTGTGTGTGTGTGTGTGTGTGTGTGTGTGTGTGTGTGTGTGTGTGTGTGTGTGTGTGTGTGTGTGTGTGTGTGTGTGTGTGTGTGTGTGTGCGTGTGTGCGATCATGCAAATGAACTCGTGTTTCTTAACGTCGTTATTTCCATATCGATTCCCTTTTTGCATGCTTGTATTTCCTCGGGAGCGACACAGCTTACCTCATCCAGATGTTATTTTGCATTTTCATTGACACTTGTGTGTGTGTGTGTGTGTGTGTGTGTGTGTGTCTGTCTGTGTGTGTTTTTTCTCCTCCATACTGCTTCCATCTTTGGTTTTGTTTCTCCTGGTGTCTAATAAGTGTATTTAGCCTTGTTTCGTGTCTCACTTAATGTGATGAATTTGACCCTTTTTCCTGCTTGTGTGTGTGGGTTTGTGTACGTACATGCGTGTGTGCGTGGTGCGTGTGTACATGCATGTGAATATATTTGCCTTCTTACATATGTGTGTTCATCTCTCTCTCTCTCTCTCTCTCTCTCTCTCTCTCTCTCTCTCTCTCTCTCTCTCTCTTTTATTTACAGGGAATTTAAAGAATGTGGTTTAGGAGTCAATAGACTCAGCCGCCGCCGCCGCCTCCTCCACACACACACACACACACACACACACACACACACACACACACACACGCACCATGTTTCCAAACCAGGTCGACGCTTGGCGGCTTTAATGAAGACAATATGGAGCGGACCCCATCGGCCCCAAGGCACGGAGCGAAACGAGGGAGGGATGGAGGCAGAAAAAGAGTGAGCGAGGGGTTTTGGAAAACATTAGCTGAGTGTTTCCAGGAGAAAACAGTTTAATAAGGGAGGGAGGGAGGGGGAGGGGGGGAGAGAGATGTGGTTGCTGTACAATGTTCACTGTTTTTTAATCCTTTTGTTTTTTTGGACAAGGTATGTGTGTTTGTGTGAATGAGAGTTTGTGGTGAGTTCAGTGTGGGTATGTAAAACTGAATTACAGCAGGGGAGGGTGGGATGGAGGGGGCGAGGGAGGGAGGGGTTGTTGCACCCAGAGTTTTTGGTATCAAAGAGATGCGTTTGTGTACATCCTATCAGACGGAGACATTTTGAAACTAAAACGGTAAAACAGATATTGTCAGGTGTCCGGTTTAACGTTCGACCCCGAGTGCTGCTGGGAGTTTAGTCACCTCACAGGACACATAAGCAGTAAAACAGACAAAAAAAAAGGTTCCACAAAAGCCTCGTTATCCTCGCACCCCGGGAGTTTCTCAACCCGGTCTGGAAAAAAGGCCTGAAAAAAAAGTACCTTTTAAATTAATTTTCCAAGTCTTGAGAAACTTTTGCAAATAAACAGTGTGGAGACGGTTGGAGAGCAGCCGCTTACACATGGCGGAGGCTGCTCAGCCACATTGTTCTGACCTCTGGGCAAAATCTGCAAATTAAAACATCTGGACAGAGTTTGGAATTTTAAATGGAAAATATGCAGGGAAAGTTACAAAGGTTTTTGTTGTTGTTGTTTTTCCATAGATAGACAATAACAAGGAGTACACAAACCTTTTAGAAGGTTTTAGATAAAAGTAAGAGGTTCCTGAATTGGACTGGACCATTTCAGGTCAATAAACAAACATGGCTGCTGCTTGAAGACTGACAGATGCAGGATTTTCAGAGAGAGAGACTTGAAATGTCTCGACAATCTGGGCTCCAAATTAAACTTTCTTGGCTCATCTGCCGATGTTAAAATGAGAAAATGTACCAGCCGTAAAACTGCATTATGCATCATTGGACTACAAATCATTACCTCGTGTTTTGGCCGCCGATCTCGGGGCTTCCTCTCGCAGATAACGCCGGCCTTTGTCACTTTCCTTTTCGTCCTTTATTCGGGATGCACCGATACCAGGATTGGCTCTGCTCATGTATTTGTAATCATAAAATGAGTCCAGACTAAATATGAATGAGCAGCGTTTAATTCCTGCACTCCACAAACTTCCATAAGACTTAAACCTTTATTCTCTCCGCTGCCTTTGAATGAACTTTACCCGCTCTCTGTTACGGCAGCGTGACGACACGTTACCTCTCGTTAGTTGAGCAGGTAGATAAAGGAAAAGACAGATTTTTTTAAGCAGTTTTCAAAGTCTTTGGTATTATTAAGTAACGGCAAATACCCAAATGTAAGTAGAGCCGACAGACATCGTGTAAAGTGAGGTTGACAGTGAGGGTCAGTCTCAGCTGTTACACATAAGAAACCCAGCGATCTAAATCCGGCCGGTGACCCCCAATTCATTTACAAAACCCCCAAATTTTACCCACATTTGGCGCTTGGTGGGTGTTGATTTTGGACCCTGCTTGTAAATGTTTGTCGATCACGAAAGTATTATTCTCAGCTCTGGCATCATCCCCCACTTAACCTTATAAACACTAGAAATCTGTGGTGAAAGTGGAACAATCGTTGGAATTCAGTCTTCAATACAAACAGTTCTTCAGTTAAAAAATAAACACAACTTCATCTCCACTGTAGTTGCCTTTATATTCAGCTATAATGTCCCCAAAAATACTTGTAGTTTTTTGTCAAAGGATGACTTTGAGGCTTCTCTTTCTGTCGTTTAAATGCCTCAAGTATTCTAATATATGCTGATTATTTCCACGCCGGTAGAAGTTTGGAAAACAGAGAAATCTTGTTTAATCCCCCCAGCTGTAGTGTTTGTGATGTGGCAGAGTCGCATTGCACAGCTTTAAAAAAAAAAAAACACACCCGCCGCACATCAAACTGAACAGTGACCAAAATCTTCAAATCCCCTAATGAAGCCGATGAGCCACATGTGGGATTTCTGACACGAGTGGAAACACAAGTGAAGGCTCGATGACGGCGGCGTCGCACAAATGTTTGAAAAAAGGAATTGGATCTGTCTTTTGGGGATTTGGGATTGCACAAATAATCTGAAAGTTTTGGTTCAGTCTCAGCGTTTTTAGGGCCAAAATGTTCATTTTTGACCACATAAATAGTAGTTTTACCAGAAAAATCCAAACTTTAACATCCACTGATGTGCATTTTTAGGAACTTTCAACTCCATCCGCTGCTAGATGTGGTTGAAAGCTCTGGAAATAAAGCTAGAAAGTGGACTTTGAGTATAGATTTCTGTTTGTGAAACTGCTATAAAATCATTTTTCAGGCATTAAAATTCATTATTTTTGTTGGTTTTGAAGGTTCAAAGTGTTGGTGCATCTTTTGTTTTTGTTGTTTTTATGTTTCTTAAATGAAATCCTGCCTTATCTCGCATCCTTAACAAGCTGCTGACTGAAAAAAAACGTTTTTAAGCTTAGAAACAAAGTCAAACTAACACTTTAAATTGTCTGTGTTTATATGAATATGACAACACTTCTCACAGGAACGTTTTAGAATATCTATCCAATTGTTTTTAAAAAAGGAAGTAATGTAAACTGTTCACAGAATGACTGTTGGCATGTTTCAATGTACATACCACGGGAGCGCTTGTTGAAATAAAAGACAGGAGAGCATGTTGTTGTCATGTGTCTGTTTGCAATGCGCGGGGGGGGGGGGGAGGGGTTTAAGCGGTGATTTATGCAGTGCGTGCTGGTTAATAGAGGCTTTAATGGTGGAGCGCGTTTGAAAGAGGAACCACAAATGTCGGGGCCGTTTCCTTTAGAAGTGATGTTCCCCAAATTAATGGCCCTGGAAATTCACACCAAATGTAAGGAGTCACCAGTCCTGAGCTGGCATGTGCTGAACAGAAGTGTGTGTGGAGTGTGTGTGTAGTGTGTAGTGTGTGTGTGTGTGTGTGTGTGTGTGTGTGTGAGGATTCCCTGTGATCTTTATGAACGCTGCTGCGGTCACCTCGGCGGTTTGAGCCCAACGTAGCCGAAGCAAATGAAACTCATTACGCCGTTTACGAGTTCAGAAAAGGAGAGACGATTGAAATTCTATCTCATAAACTGGGAGGGGTAGAGGGGGGTAAGAGAGGGTGAGGGAGGGGTGAGGGAGGAGAGGGTGGTTTACACGGTACCGGGCATTGGGGCTGTAAACATGACAGACTTGAGAGACTTGTGTGTGTTTATGTAGTTTTTCGTTGCTCCGCGGAGTCAAATTAGGAAAACTGAGGGGCCCGGAGAGGATTCAGGGCACCGCTGGAATTCATGGATCGCGTTTTCACCAACAGGCAGAAGAGACTGTTGTTCCATCGAGACCCAATACGATCTTATTTTATAAAGAAATTGAGCTCTTCTGGTTGTTTACAGTTATTAGATATGTAGCCAGAAAAATACCCAAACACTCTTTCTCAAGCGATGGATCTCTCTGGCTCCAATGTTTTGTTGTTGTGTGTCTATGTATTATACTAAAACTTTCCCATGTCATCAGTCTCACCAGACGCATCAGAATCAGATGTATTTATTCGTTTGTTTATATGTATTCGAACACAAACAAGGAGTTTGACTCCGGTTGTTTGTTGCTCTCAAAGATGCGAGAAATTTCTGAAATTTTTAGCTGACCAAAGATAGATAAACATAAATATTTAATTGTACAAGCAGGACATAAAATAGATAAATATATAAATATATATATATATATATATATATATAAAGCAACAATGAACAACATCGTACAATATCTATATACACATCAAACTGTTTTTAAACTATAAGAACACCTTATAGACCTTTTTCAAAGGAGAGACAAGAAAATAGTATAAATACAAACACATTTTAAGGATGGTTAAAAGATAAAAGCAAACCACCAACCTTCTGATTGGTGGACAACCTGTTCTACCTCCTGAGCCACAGCTGCTCTCTTAATATACACAGCAATACTTGTGGAAGTATTATTCTGTATAATTGTGGAACCCAAGTATCTGTCCTAGGTTTCCTAGGTTTCTGCCTTTTAACAGGCAGTTTTTCCTTGCCCTTGTCGCCAAGTGCTTGCTCATGGTGGTACTGTTGGGTCTCTGTAATTAATATTTGAAAGAGTTCGGTCTAGACCTGCTCTATTTGAAAAGTGTCCTGAGATAACTTCTGTTATGAATTGGCACTATACAAATAAAATTGAATTGAAAATTGAATTGAAAAGTACACTTTCCTCTAAATGTTGTGATAAAAAATATTTAAAGAACCAGTTTGTACGATTTAGAGGCATCTTGCGGCGTAGTTGCAGATTGCAACTCCCTCGACACTTCTTATTTTCATGTGATTACACACAAATAAAAACACACATATGAATATTATATTACATTTCTACCAATAGATCCTCCTAAATGTTGCACTCTGGACCTTTTAAGATGATTGAAGCATGTCGGTGCATAAAGTTTATCCTCAGATGACAATCTGAGAACAACTGGTCCCAGTCAGTACGCGTTACATAACTCCTGTCCCTGTTTGCATGGAATTTAAATTACCTAGAGAAAAGATTACGGAGATTTTCTGTCAGATTTAAAATCCCACATAAACCGGCCGAGTGATGCAACGTATCCTGTAAAGGAAAAATGATCTTCCACATTACGGCGAAGACAGAGGTTCCCTGCCAGCGCTGAGCTGTAATTAGCTCCTGGCTCGAGTTTTCTTCCTCTAGACGCATGCAGATTTATTTTTTCCGATATGAAAATGGGAAGGCAGCACTGGAATCTATGCAGTAAGGTTTTGGATTTGGTTTCGCTCAATCAGAAGGTGATGAGTTGTTATAAGTCTTGGGTCCAGGGTTGTGGTGACTTCAGCTAATTTTGTGATGCTTTGATGCTTCATCAGTTTCATTAAACTCCCACTCAAAAAAAAAATGTTTTTCTTCTTGTTCCCTACAGTTGTGATGTTTGAGCTTCACTGTGCAGAGTTTGACTCTAGAAGAATGTTTTCATGTTCTTCTCCCGAAAGTGGAAAGTTTTCTCTGAGCTCGTTGGAAATCTGATTTTTTTTAAGGGGCGGGGCTTACGAGCATTATATGTGACATCACAACGGACTTTACAGTGAAGTAGGAAAACTTTATAAATGAACAAAATCTGCATATTTTATAGATTCTGTAATTCTTAATGAGGTAAAATATGTCTTTTTAAGGTGTTAATTATACTTTTTGTTAATTAGATCTTTAAATATTTGTTACCGGACTCAATGGATCAAATTCGGATAGTGAAATGAGTCATTTCGTCAGGGTTGTGACGCTCCTGAAAAAGTGTCCGTCCACTGTTTTACAGCCGCCACTTTCTCAATTTAAGCTTATAAGACAAAGTCTTTCCAGGCCAGTGTGCGTCACGTGATGGACACCATTGCTGTAATTCGGTTCGGCCACTATGTCAGATTGACTTCAAAGCCCGGCGCTCTTCCCGGGGAGCAGATCAAGCGAAAGTTGTTAGCATAAGAAACATTGTGCTCCTTACATTTTCAAAACAGTCTCCTAAATTCAGTTTTAAAGCATTTGAGGGGAATTATTGATTATTTTTACCCTATTCTGCGTCATTTCACGTCTTCCCAACGTAACGACTGCTGAATATCACACACTGGAGACTTAACGAGACAAAACAAAGACGAAAGAGAAACTACTTGAAGTTAACTTTGCACGGAAACAGCCGGTAGAGACCACCTTCACAGAAACCAACCAAATCTTTTATACTTTTATACATCGAGTACATTTCCTCTGTCTGAAGGGGATCTTTTAAACCTCCTCTTTATAATACTTGAGTAAACAGTTTATTGTTTTCCTGTAAAGTCCAGGTTTATAATAAAGTTCTCCTGAGAAGAACAATGGTTTCATTGTGATCTGCAGGTTCTCACTGACTGGTTTTCTTCCTGTTCTGGTTTGTATTGAACACACCTTTTTATTTCTTCATGACGAAAAAAAAAAAAACTTTTCCCAACGACTTTTATGCAAATCGGGTCCGGGTTCCTCCGCCACCCAGATGGGGATTTGAATAAAGTATCATTTGACCCTCCCTGCTGATCAGTTTAGATAAACCCAGAAGGCGTCGTCCTTCCTCTTCCTCTGTTTTTCTGTGGTTCACTGTTGAATGAAGAAGTTGGCCAGTAAACATTTGCATAAGTCTTGTAAAGCAATGTTTAAATTTTTTTGGGGGGGGGATTTTCCCCAAAAAACAAACTGTTTCCAGAGAATTTTGAAAAAAATCTGTGCAGATTTCCTCCAAAAATCCACCAAATTTGGAGCAAAAAGTCCAGTTCGTACTCAAAAAAGTACTAAAATTATACGTCTGCTAAGATGGAAATCACAGTTTGTTTGATTTGCATAACGTCTCCCCCCCTCCACCCTAACACCACCCTAACACCACCCTACCGCCGCCACCCCCAGGGGGGAACAAAGCGGGCGGGGGCCTCCGTCCTCTACGTCCTCCTCCTCATCAACATGTGAAGTGTCTGCGGTCAATGGCGGAGGGGATTTACTCGCACAATAAAGACAGATGCCACCTTTTATCTGCTTAACGGAAGAGAGGCCTGAGCGCGTGGCACTTGACCACGCCGACGCATGTTTGTTGGCGCGTAATGACGTCCTCCATGCAACAGACTATTGAGATGAATGGTGGCGGGTGAATGGGCTTGTTCTTTTTTTTAAAGCAGGAGGTGAGGGGGAGGGTACTTTGTTTTATATATATATATTTTGGGATGAATTGGTGGAGGTTTTCCCCAACGACACTTTGGGGTGATTTTTCTTTAACAGCCTTTGTTTGTGCCTTATGAATAAAAGAGGCTAAATGGAGCCAGAGGAGGTTCTCAGGTCTGAGCTGACAAACTTTTAAACATTTAAACAGACGTATCCGGTGTCCACACAGGCTGTGATCACCTCTGATGCCTGATTATTGAGCAGATAGTGGATTTATAATCAGCTTTTTGCCTCTAAATAATACTAAAACAGGGTTTTCTAGTGTTAAAAATGAATAAAAAACAAGATAAATGAGGAAATTGATTTTTTACTGGACATATTATGCGTTTTATTGGCTTTTTCTATTGTTTTTTCCCATATAAACAACTTTTATGCCGTTAAATGTGCGTTCTTTGCTTTGTACGTTATGCATATATGGTTTTATGGCCTTGCCAAACCAAATTGTGTGACCAAATTACAACAAATAAAAAGCACAAGAAACTATAAACACACTTCAGTGAACATTTTTAATGACGCCAATAAAGAGTTTTTAAGTAGCTGGGATGATTTTAGAGAGACTGTAACTGAGTCACTGAAGCAAAACTCAGTATTAATGGTCAAAGACGCCCCCTCCCCTCCGACTGTCACTTTCTATCTTAAAGGTCATAAATCAAACGTTTATGAGATACACAAAGTACACAAACTGCGATCAAACATTGTTTCTGGTGTTCAGAAAACCGCCGGCCGACCTGACATCATGAATCATTCAGTACATATTCATCAGTGTCTAATCACATGAGGACATCTTCCACAACAAGAGCATGTAGTTATGCAAATCATTCACAGACCACCTCTCTCTCTCTCTCTCTCTCTCTCTCTCTCTCTCTCTCTGGGTGAGTGACACACACAAAGACAGAGTGGGTCTGAAATGGTCCATTTGAGTCCTGGTGGTGGTGTTTTTGCTTCAGAATGAGCAACATCTGCCCTGCGGAGCGGCGGCGTCCAAACTCCGGAGGCTGGATTCACCTTTACCACGGATACGGAGCTGGAAAGATATTGTTTTTATTTATTTTTTGTTTGTGAATAATTAAATGAATGATGGCTGAATTCCATATAGCTGCCTCGGTTTTTAGTTTCAGGGTCCTGGTATCGTGCACGTTGGTTCACGGGGACACTAGAACGGAGCCTTAATCCACCTGGTGAAGAGACATATTTTATAGTTTTAACATTATATTCAATGTATAACAATAACAGCGCAGAACAACTCATAAACTGAACAATGAAACCAAACAGTGAACGCTATAAAATGAGCAATTTTAAGCATTTTTATGACATTATTTCCTGTGAATATTTCATCAGAGATTACTTTTTCTGATGATTTTAGCATCTTTTTTTAAATATATTTTAACAATCATTCATACTTAATATGCTTCTTTTGTGATAAATAGAGGTTTTTCTCCTCCCTGATGCGTTCATTTCTAACGCAGGTTGAGACTGTTTTGCTCTGTGGATATATCTAACTAAATAATTAACTTTAAAATAACAATATAATTCAGTTTTCCTTACAGAAATAAATGAACTACAGTGCATATTTATACGTTTTCTTCCTCAGCCGCTCCAGGAAGGTCCCGCTTAACAGCAGAAATAAACATGTTTACAGCCTGGTACTAACTAACTAACTAACTCCTTTAAATTATATTAAGGCTTAAAGTTATGCATAACTAACTGACTGCCAAGATGGTGATAGTGATGTAAATCTGAAACAGGATATTCTGCATAATGATTACTTTTACTTTTTGGGACTTAAAGTTAAATTATATGACACATAAAAAAAAAGCATGTTTTTCATTTAAAATAACTTTAAACTACCTGCTGCCCCTTTGCTGCATGTTTCTCTCTCTTTCTGCCCCTTTTCCTGTCTAGCTTCACCTGTCCTATCAAAATAAAAGCATAAAAAGCCCCAAAAATATCTCAAAAAAAGAGTTAAACTGTATTTAAACTGCATGGAAATGCATAATCCCAGTCTATTAAGCTCCGCCCACCTGTGTTTGCCTCAACCAATCAGATCCCTCGCATGCAATCGGATCCTTTGGAAGTCCAGTTCCTGGTTTTGGGATGGCAGCCTGCCCGGACACACACACACACACACACACAGACCGGGCTGGTCAGTGAAGAGGGAGCGAGGAACAAAATGCTTTCTATTCAGTAACAAGCTCATTGAGGAGCTGACAGACCCTCCGGAGTCTCTGCAGTCAGTGTGTGTATCCCTGCGGGCTCCAGCCTCCCCTCCGCCGGCTTTACCCTGCACGAACTGAACCCTGAGGACTCTCCGGACCTGGTCGTTGGAGTTTTTGTGCTGCAGGACTCTCACAGGTTGGTCCCTTTCTGTCACTTCCTCCGGGTTCAGGTCTGTCGGTGTGTGACAGGAGCTGTTGTCACTGGTGTCTGCTCAAAGTTTTCCTCTCAGTTTTTAACTGTTTGCTTAACATTTTAAATAAGTTTCAGCCTCAGACTGAAGTTTTCTGATGTTAAAAGCTGCTGTTTCTCTCTTTGGTTTGATGTTATCTGAATCGCAGATTGGCAGATATTATTGCAGAAGGTGTAAAACTGGTGGAAATTAGTGTTTAATGGAGTAAAAGTCTATTTGTTTCTGAGAATACAACCAGTTTTGCTTTATTTAAAGTCGGTTTCAATGTGCATCTCGCTTCAATCCACCTTTAAATCAATTAAAATGTTTGGTTTTTTTTACATCCAAAACTTGCAAAGAGTAAAAACTCTGAACATAAATCTGATTTTTCATTTTAATTTTTGGTTTTCAGTGACAGTGTTCAGTGTTGGGTGGGAAGTTAGAGCCAATTAAAGCGAGTGGTGAACGCGTCACGCTGGGACAGCATATGGTTGTGTGTGTGTGTGTGTGTGTGTGTGTGTGTGTGTGTGTGTGTGTGTGTGTGTGTGTGTGTGTGCGTGTGTGTGTGTGTGCTTGAAAGAGACAGACTGACGTTTCAATTTGCTCGTCACGCTTTAATTGTGTAATTGAAACCTCTGTTGTTGGTGTGTGTGTGTGTGTGTGTGTGTGTGTGTGTGTGTGTGTGTGTGCTGCCCTATGTTGACAAACTGCAGTAAGACTCCTATAATGTTGTTATAGATATATATATATTATATTATACACCTACCACTGCAGTATAGTGTGTTTGTATTGATCGATTTTGATCAGTTGAGGCTGTTTTCTGACATTAACTAACAACAAGGTCCATCTAGCACAGCTCCTCCTGAGCTTCCAGTCTTCTGTTATTTTGAGAGTTTTATTCATGTTTGTTGGCTGAGAAGTGAAGAAGCTCATGATAGAAAGCTCCAGAACTGCAACAAGATGTTTTCAAGTTCAATAATTAACTTTATCCTGCATATTCGTGTAGAAACCATATTCACACAGTGAGTTTAGAGACTTTATTGTACTTTTATGTTCACCGTAGAGGGTTTACAGAAGGCTGCAACTTCAATTAATTAAGTTATTTTTTTTATTAAATGTGAAAATATATAGAAAAAAGCCTCTGAATCGCGTGTTTCGTCTGATTTACGATGATATAAAACAGTAAAAAGCACAAAATCCTCACATTTAACAAGCTTTAACCTGAGAATCTTTGGTATTTCTGCTTGATAAATGACTAATAATTGATGGTTTCACCTACAATATGTGTGTAAATATGTTCTATATAGTGAGTTTAATGCATTTTTAAACCTCTTATAAACTTATAAGCATTAACTGTAATGTTCCTACAGTATTTAGTGCTGAACCAATTAGGTGATTGCTTGATCACTCAAATGTACAGACGAATAATTGGCTTTTAATTAGTTTATTTATCAGTTAATCTGTTATTGTTTGTCAAATAAATGTCAGAACATGTTTAAAAAAGCCTAAATGTTGCTTGTTTCTTCTGATTAATAGTCCAAGATGCCAAATTTACAATGACATAAACAGAAAAAAGCAGCAAAACCTCACTTTTAATCTGAGAATGTTTGGTTGACAGATCACTTAATCAATTAATAAATCGATGGTTTCACCTAAAATATGTGTGTAAATCCGTTTTTGGCTTCTTCATACAGTTTTAAACCTCTCTCACTGTCATATTTAGTGCTGAAACAATGAGTGAATTGCTTGATTACTCCAATCTGACAGACAAATAACTGGCAGCTGTATTGATAATCAATCAATGAAGTCGTTTTTAAAGCAAAAAAGCCCCCAAAAATTGCCATTCCAGCCTTTTAAATGTGAATATTTGCTGCAATTTTCACTGTTTTCTGTAGATTAACTGATTAATCAATACAATAACAATGATCAGCTGCAGCACACGGACACTAGGTGTGAATATTTTGTGTTTTTTCCCCCTTTAAGAGCTACTAATCTGGCAGTGAGAGCAGGACTTTCATTGCTGATAATTAAAATAAATGCAGACCGGTCCGCGGCCAAGACAGCAGCCGAGACCGCTAATGAAATCATTTACGGGGGGAAACTTAAGCCAGGGCCGATTTCACAACCTCATAAAAAAAAAAAAAAAAAAGAAAAGTGTGGTGGAAGAACACAATCGAGTCGAGGTCAGCTGTGAATAAAAACACACACACTGGCTCTCGTCCAGCAGTTTCACACACACACACACACACACACACACACACACACACACACACAGCATCCTTCCTTAACTCCTCCGCTGAACTGTCCTTCTGCTTCCCTGCAGCGAAGGAGTTTGTACATTTCTTTGGACTCTAATCCATCCTCATTTTCAGACAAAAACAGGAGGCTGCAGGTTTGTGTTATTATGAGCGCGAGAGAGAGAGAGAGAGAGAGAGAGAGAGAGAGAGACTGAAGCCAAAAGAAAAGCTGTTATGTGAGAAAAAACAACACACACATCCATCACTTCTTGACCTCCTTCAGGCGTGTTCGTGTCTCCTGAGTGCTTAAAAAATGTCAGATTTACTCAGTTAAAACTAAAAAATTGGAACATTTTGTTTTTTTTGGGGGGGGATAAAAACAATGAGACTAACCTGATTTGATCAGTTCGAGGTTCCTTTGGAAAGGTTTCTAAGTTTAGGATGTGTTGTTTTCATCAACCTGAAATCTCCTCAATGATGCACAGTATTGCACAATCATGACATTTCCTCTTTAAAAAAACCTTAAAATCTCTCCCATCGCTACATGAAAAACAAACCTTTTAAAAGCTGACACACATGTGATATCAGTACCCTGAGGTCCACTGATGAATACTCACCAATCATTCATAGTTTCTCAACAATACAACTAAAGAAACATGACTGTCACCTCTTCGTAAGCTCTTAATATCCACCAGAAGTCGGGAATTTAGCGGTTCATAAAGCTAAATTATGCATTTTCAGAGTCTTTTTCTCCAAAAATCCTTTGTTTCATTGAACAAAAGAAGCCAACGTTCTTAAATGTTAAATCTCCTCTAAATACAAGCAGCTGTCCAATAACTTTGACTTAATGAAATCGTCCAAAATTGGCTAAATTGTGATTTAAATCAGAAACAGTCTGATCGATGATGCTCGTTCCAGCGAACACACACAGATTAGAAGAGGTCAGTCGTGCAGTCTGAGTGGTTTTAAAGATGCTGTGAATCCATACCTTTAAAATCTGCAGCCGGATTTGTTTACTACAGGTAGACGACGGCGATATATAACACATGCTTCCTCTGATCAGTGCACTCTTGGTCTGGGGGGAGTCACCTCACTGCCTCATAACTGTCACTTAAAGGACCAGCGTGCAGGATTTAGCTGTATCTAGCGGTGAAGTGTCAGATTGCTACTAACTGAATACTGCTCGCGTCTGTATCAGACGACCTGGGAATGAGAAGATTCCTATATTAAGGTGATTATACGCTAATAAAAACATACATATATATATGAATATTATGTTCCATTACTGCCAGTAGATCCTCCTAAATGTCTGGAGGGGAGCTTTAAATTTGTGCATTAAAGTGTCCATATGCGACTCAATAATGGATGCATCCTAATTAGTACTCTACTCTCATATTAAGTATGTTTATATTTAACTTTATTAGGAATTAAAATCGTCTTAAAAAGCTGTTTTCTCATCTGTTCAGTTGTTTTAATTTGTTTGTGTGTCCCTGGACTCAATGTGCTTGAAAGCTGTTGAGCGGAGACACCATGTGCAGCCTGGTCCTGACAGTAATCAGTCAATGAATAATGAACACACACCACACACACACACACACACACACACACACACACACACACACACACAGACCTGCCACTGACAGCTGTTTGGTATCTTTGTGTGTGTGTTAACTCTATCAGTCGAGTGCAGCTGCATGCCTGCCTGTAGCAATTATGTCCTCGCTAAATAAGAGCCAGCGCTGGGAGGAGGGGGAGTGTGTGATAAGAGAGAGAGAGAGAGAGAGAGAGAGAGAGAGAGAGAGAGGTAGTGGGTGAGGGGTGAGGGGGGGGGGCAGAGTATCAGCACATATTATTAGGCGATTAACTTACTCAAAGGATAGCCGCATGATGTGTGTGTGTGTGTGTGTGTGTGTGTGTGTGTGACTCCTATAGAGGCTCATGTTAAAGTCCCAGAGCTGGTTTATATTACAACACAGTTCAAACACACACACGCACACACACACACACACACACACACACACAGACACACTGAGTTTCACTTGCCCTTTTTTAAAACCTCCTCACACATCTCGATGACATTTTCTCAGTGTGTCACACTTTACGTAACACACACATTTTCTTCCATTCACACACACACACACACACACACACACACACACACACACACACACTCACACACACACACACACACACACACACACACAGTCAGACATATGCTCTGTTCTCAGGGCCCATATGTATTTATCCTGTCATGTGACCCAATCACTCTTTAAGATCCTCAAAGGCTCCGTTGCGTTGTGAACACACACACACACACACACACACACACACACACACACACACACACACACACATATACACAGACCTATAAACACTCACTAACCCCGTTGGTACCCACAGGCCTCCTCCTCCTCTTCCTCCCCCTCCTCCTCCTCCCCCCGTAGCCTTTTCATGGTTAATTTGCTGCTCAATAAGGTCAAGAGGAAAAGCAGACATCGGTCCCTGAACGCACCGAGTCACGCGGGCCCGTCCGGGCACCAGGGTCGGCTTCGTTGTGTGGTTTTCCAGACGGATCTGACTTCTTTACCGGGTCATAAGAGCACGAGTAACGCCGCTCTTATGTCAACAACGCCATTGTTGTTTTGGGCGCCCCCACGTGTTGTGTCGGGAAACGCTATTAAAATGAGCACTTAAGTTATTTGTCGTCCTCTATTTAGTCATCAAAGTCACTCGCAGGCTGTAATCTGTGTTTTTATCCTGGAGAGAGTTGTTGTTGTTGTTTGGGAAATTACTTAGAGACGTGGACAAAAGGAACTGCTTTGTGTTTTAAATCGTTAGCGGTTATCTTTTGTCTTTTTATCTCAAAACATTTTGTAGTAGAGAGTTTATCCATTCACCACGTCCTTATATGCTAAGTATCTGTGGCTTGCTGTTTCCACTCTTTATGTTAAGCTAAGCTCATCGCCTCCTTGATGTTGCTTCATAACAAAAGTGCAATAGAGTGAATAAGCGTTCCTCCTCCAGGTGTAGAGCCTCTATCATTCTGTCTGTCGTGTTCTGTCCTGTAAAAAAAATGCTTTTATTGTGAAAGATTCTTTGATCAAGTCCGGACAATTTCGATGTAACCCAGCAACCTGTACGCAGATCGGCAGGAAAGTCCCCTGCAACCAAACAACGGAGATATTAAACAAATATTACACTCGCAGTAACTCCTCGTGTGGCTCCTGTATCACTGCTGTTGCCATAACGACAGGTGCAAACAAAAAAACCCCCCAAAAATCTGATTCATTAATGGATTCGCTGTGTGTGAGGTTTCTAGCTGGAGCTGCAGTATACAGTATTTTTCTGGAACTATTTCACTTTCTTGCCAAGAGTTGGATCATTAGATCTGCAATCAGATGATTAGCCTAGCTTAGCATAAAGACTGGAAGCAGAGGGAAGCAGCTAGCTCTCTCTTTTTCTTTTACAATTCATTTATTTTCTGGTTGACAGTTTTTTTTTAAACTTTGGGACGAAGCTAAGCTAATCACCCGCCGACTCAACTTTCATATTTAGGAAATGGGCATAAGAGTGTTGTCAATCTTCTCATCCAACTCTTGGCAAGAAAGTGATGTTTCCCAAAGAATAATTTCTTTTAAAGAGTTTATCCAAATACTGAAATTACATATAGATTTTCAAAATAAATTACAATCTTTTTGCTGGGATTTCCAGTGTTCTTTAAGCTTCTGGTTTAAATTGTGTGTGTGTTTGTTTTTTTACTGTGATTACTGTAAAACTTAATAGCTCATGCTTTTATTTACTTCAATCACTGAACTCTACCTGCCTTTATTTGGGACAGGCCTTTAAGTCCTTCTCACAAAACTCTTGCTCAGCGGAAATCCTATCGTTAATAGTTAATTTAAACCAGTGTAGATATTACTTACTATTACTAAAACAACATTTATATTTGTGCAGGCGAACTTGCTCGAGCTTTAAGAGGTTTCATACATCCAAAGAACTTCTCTTAAAATCAAGACCAGGCCTCTAATTGAGACCTGCTTTTATTTGTGAAAACCTGCAGCCGCACCAGGCTATTAAAGGAGACCTGCTTTTAATTGAAGCTTTACACTATCTGTCACATAAAGAGGTGTGAATTGTATGTGTGACACTGTGTATTACGTCTTATTGTGAAGTCCTTACCGATATCCAGGCTATCTTAGCTAACGTTCTGTTTCTACCTGCAGGCTCTGGGTTTTCCTGGTGATGACCTCACTGCTGTTCCCTGGCAACGCCCACGCTGCGATGAAGGACCTCTCCTCCTCCTCCTCTCCTCTCAGCTCCCTGCTCCACTACCCGTCGTCCAAAACCTCCGCCACGCCGTTCTCCCCGTCCGCCGGCGCCGCCTCCTCGCCCGGGTCATCGCTGTCGTCGGCCCCGCTCTCCAAACCTCAGCCCTTCTGCCTCCAGACGGGGCCGCACCTCATCGCCAGCATGCAGCTGCAGAAGCTCAACTCGCACTACCAGAACCTTGCCGGCGCCTCTGCCGGACACCAGGCGCCCAGCGGCGCGCAAAGGGGCTTCGGTGCCTCGCCTCTGGGCACCGGAAACCAACTTCTTGGGCCTTCTGGAGGCCTCGGAGGAGGTGGTATGAGCGTTGGCATCAGCATGGGGAACCAAAGCTCCAGTGCAGGTGGAATTATCGACTTTGACCCCGTGGACGAGGAGGTTCTCATGTCGCTGGTGGTGGAGCTCGGTTTGGACCGAGCCAACGAGCTGCCCGAGCTCTGGTTGGGTCAGAACGAGTTCGACTTCATGTCAGACGTACCGGCCGGATGCTGACCTTCAAAATAAAAACAGAAAATATTATCGAACTGCAGCAGAATTGATTGACAAAGAGAGATTTTCTGTTTCCTCCGTTTCTTGGTTGATAAAATGAGGAAACAGAAGAGACACTGATGAAGAGAAAGACATGTTTTCAGACACTTTAAGGCCACAAACAGATGGATAAAAGGACAAAGACAGCTTGCTTTTGATTGTTTTTTCCCCTCTTTGTTTTAATGGAGTTGTGTTTTTGCAGAAGAGACAAACTGGTTCTAATCGGTTGAAAACCAACCTGATTTTTATTCATTCTAAGCGAAGCAGTGAACAGAAACAAGGAGTTTCTATCGCGCTTCGCTTTAATGAAAACAAGGTGATTGTGGTGACAGGTTGGAGGACGATTCTGGCCTAAACCAAACCTTAAAGACGACACACCTGTTGGACTTTTCCTTCTCTCTCTCTCTCTCTCTCTCTCTCTCTCTCTCCATCGAAGGAAAATGAATAAATGGGAAACTTTATGGGAGATTATGTAAAGGACGACAAACACTATGTTTCCTGTTTCCTTAAAGGACAATATTAGACTCTGGTCTCACGGGAACAAGACTCCTGTCTCTCGGCTTCACAAAGCAACCGACTGTCTGAGAACTGGTTATCTCAATGTACTTCTTTTTCCTTCTTTTCTTTCTTTTTTGGTTTGAATTAAGTTCAACCAGTCGTATTCGTAGAACATGTTATTTAAGACAGTGGCTGATATCCATCAGGACTTCTGGACAAGGAGCGCTTCTGTAGCGCATCTATAATCAGTTCTACTTTTCTGAACATAATGAATTAGATCAAGGGATGAGGAATCTTTCGGAGCATGGGACCTGAATGGAGTAAATTGTTTCTTGCTCTGGAGCACAGCCTCATTATAAAGAACGAGGCCTTGTTGGTCATGTGAGTCGCCGCTACATGTAGGTGTTTTGTTTTTTTCGGCCTTTACAGTGTAAGAAACGCTGACCCCCCCCCTAGGTGGTCCAACTGGTGTCAATGATCCTTGATGATAGCACTTCCTCCTACATTGAGGATTACAAGGTCTTGTCAACATTGTGTGGACTCAAATTCACACGTGACCCGCCCTCTCTCTCCGCTTTTTGTTTTTCCTGCTTCACCACTTTGATGTTTATGTCCAAACAGCAGACCGTATTATCGCCGCACATTTCCGCGGCCTTGATAAGAAACCATTGTCTGTTTTTTTGTGTGTTTGAGGCTACTGTTTGAACACCTTGCAGAAGGAGCTGCCTTTGAGCTAAACACACACTGTGGTTTGGTTTCAGCGTGTCCAGATGATGGTCCACACCGGTGCAGGCTTTAGGATGATTGGAATCAGACCAAAGTGAACTAAAGCCTTTCAGTTGACATCTATTCATAGCAGCTTCTGCTTGCGACTAACATGTTAGTGTTAACTACCAGCTTCTGTTTGTTCTTGCTGCTTCAGTGAAGGCCGAGACAACATGGCTCTTGAGCTTCAGTTATTTGTTAAACAGCAGAATCAGAAATATTATTGTTGTTTTAGTTTGTCCACATCCCAAGTGAAAATTTATTTGAATTCATCAATTTGAAATGATTTGACAAAAACTATATCCACTCAAGCTCAACTTTATCTTTGTTTTCCGGAGCTCTCGGCTGTATCATACCCCTGAACTTTTATGCTAACACGGATGAGAAGTCCTACAGGTGTTGGATTATGTCATAACAGCCGCTAAGCCTCGCGTATCAAATCCATCTACTGCTGGACCATGTGATACGTTTGAAGGCTCTGGAAAACGCTAAATGGAAGTGGACCTTGAGATGGGATTGTGAAACTGAAGAAGGGTTTCAGTATATAGAAGTTGCGTGAAACAATGATATCAGATGATGTGATAAATTCACATTTTAATGAGGGAACAGATAATGAACAATCCCAAAAACATAGAAAAACAATGAAGCTCAATCTTTTTAGGCTAAATATGTTTAAAAGTTTAATTATTGACCTTGAAAATAGCAGTTTAAACTCCATACTAAGGTTTTTTCTCTGAGCAACTGAGCAAACTCTAAAGCAACAGCGACATTAACTAACAATCTTTTTATTGCCTTGCTGTTGCAACCCAGTTTTATATCCCCCTTTATTTGCATATCCTCTATTGGGACCACCACGATGCTGCCAGACGCTGTTACCGTGGAGGTATTGACTCGTGGTTTAATTCACAAAATTCTCACTATCTCTGTGACTGTGAATGGAATATTATTAATATTATTGACCAGGTGTTTTTGACCTGATATCTGTTGTGGTAAGAAGAGACGGGAAGGGAGTCTTGAACTGTGCGGCAGGAACAAAGGCCTTTCGCCTCAGCCTGGTGTATCTGTCATCTGGGCATTGTGGACCACACACACTAGAAATAACACACCTGTACGTGCATATATATATATATACTTATATATATATATGCACACAAAGACTTAACAACTCACCTGTATGTGCTTTCACGTCCAAACAAACACACTGAAACCAACCTGTGCAGGCGTACAAAGGAAACCGAAATAAACCCACACACACAGGGGCATCGGGATGGTATTACAGCTGGGAAATGGGAGCCATGAAACGGGCACTTGTTCAGTTACACACACACATACAGACTTCACAGGGTATTTGGGTTGTTAATGTGTGTGTGTGTGTGTGTGTGTGTGTGTGTGTGTGAAAGAAAGAATATGTCTGAAAAACGTAAAATGTGTTGAGGGGTCAAGCAGGTAATCCGTCCACATGAGGAGCACTGGTGGCGGAGGAGGATGAGGAACACAGCCGGGCCCTCGTTAATTAATTTAGATATAGACAGGTCAGCTTACACAGACACAACAGTTCAGTCCCGCAACAGCGCACACACACACACACACACACACACACACACACACACCTAAACTCGCCTTATTTTCCTACACACACTCCAGCTAATACCAGTTGTTTTTGTTCATTTAGGGTCTCGGTTACAGCACCAATTTTCCTCTCCTTTCTTTAATGAAATGCGAGAAGCTAAATGAAAACCCGATGAAGGAGTAATTTGACATAAAAAAGGGGGGGGATTTGCCGGGGAATATTTCCACCTCCCTCCCTCCCTCCCTTCGTAACACAACCACTTTATTGACGTTAGCGTGGAGCGAGAGAAATAAAGATGCTTCTCATCGCTTCCAAAATCCAACAGACAACAGACGAGTTGATTCTTCCTCCGTCTATGTGGGTCAAAATAACATTCCTCAGATCGAAGACAGCCTCATGTTTGTTTCCATCTGCTCGACATTGTTTTTAAAGTCCTTTTGTGTATGTGTGTGTGTGTGTGTTGTGTTTTTGTGGTCCAGGCCTTAATCCCAGCTCATGTTATTTTATGGTGTGTAGAGCCCCCCCCCATCCCCAGAGAAGTTTCCTGGTTGAGATGTTTGAACCGTCTGAGGGGCTTTCATTTCCTCTTCTCCTTGACGCCCCGATATTGCAGATTAACCCCAGCGGAGACCTTTTGAACCAAAATATACCCCCACAGCTATTTGGTTTCTAATGACAAAAACTTACATTCATGCAAAGTATTCTTTAGTGTATTTTAATCACTGCCAAAAAAGTTCAGATTATCATAAAATTGGGCATTTCTCTGTTTATTTTTACATGTTTTAGCTCAAACTGCGAATCCCCTGAACTTTAATACAGACATTTTTAGAAAGTGTACCATAAGTTTATAGACTGGTTTGTTCCAGTGCTCCATTAAACTCATATTTTTTATCAGGTACAAATGAAGTTGCGAACTTGGATTCATCAGCAACAAGTCTGAAAGTAGATTTTCAACAGAAAAAAAGCCAAAATTAGCGTGTTTCAGCCTGTAAAATATGAGGAATCTGCTTTAATTTGTCTAATATGATAGTAAATTGAATATCTTTGGGGGTTTTTTTTAACCCTCACTGATGTAAACGGGGTCAATTTAACCACCATCACCTCTTTAAACGCCAAAAACAGAAAATCTTAACCTTCATGAAGGTTTAATTTATAGCTTGGTTAGCTTAGCTTAGCACAAAGACTGAAAACGGGTGGAAACAGCTAGCCAGGCTTTATTTAAATGCAACAAAATCCGTCTAGCAACACTTCTAAAACTCATAAATGAACTTATCACATCTCGTTTGTTTAATCTGCACAAAAAAAATGAGTTTTTTTTTTGCTCCCTGTTTTTTTTCACCAGTTACATGAATTTAAAAAAAAACAAACAACCCTTCTTCATGTAAACAGACACGTGTGTGCTTTTGGATGCTGAGATGGGTTTTCTTTTTCTCCTACCACTAATGAAGTGGATTTACAGTTTCCAGGTGACAGCGGTGATTTGTTGCACACTCGGCTTTGTTGCCTCCGGGCGCTGCGGGGTCGTGAAAAATGTTCCAACACATCAAGGCCCGTGAAAAAACCCTCCGACACGAGTGGTGATATATCTGTTAAAAGGTCGCCGTTACAAGGTTTTCCTCTCCACAGTAATGAAAATGTTCAGCCCACTGCTCTGCTGCCAGGTCTGCTTGTGAAACTGAAGCAGACTCTGCACTGATTTATTCTCTTTCTCTCCATTTACTTTTTTAAAAAAAACCCTGTAGATTAAAGTTTTATTTTGTTGTTGTTGTTTTTTTTTTAATGATGAAAATGAATATTATTCAAAGATGATTTTTTTTAAAGCACTTTTTTTTTGGCTCACCGGCTCTCACTTGTACATCTATATGAATATGTAAATGACTGAAAATCATATTGGAAAAAAAATGCTTGTATTTTTGTTACGGCTCTGAGTTTTTGGGGGGGTAAATAAAGAAAGCGAAAGCTGAGCTGGAGTGAATGTTTGTCATTAAAAACAGCAGACAGACACTAAATACAGTGTATAAAGTGTCATCTAGGTATTCAGCATATATCTATTCCTTTAAAATGAAGGTGTTTTACGCATATAGAACATTATAGTTACAAGTAAAGGTAAAAAATGTAAAATAATGACGTACACAAGGAGTCTTAAAATGTAATTTAAGTAACATATAATGTAAATAATCTCAATTTTTAGGCCTTAAACTATCTTTAAATGTCTTAAACGTTGATTTAAGTCAATGCTATTTGACTAAAGTCTTTGCATATATCTTTTGCACTTTAAATTTCCTTCACAAAGGCGTAAAATTGTCTTAAATTAACCTGTTGAAACCTGCAGAAACCCATTAATGTGACCTGTGTTACCTGTAGAGTCACACAAGGGCATGATGATGATGATGATGAGGAGGATTCAGGACTTATGTAACATTTTTAAATGTGTTATTCTGATAAAAAACTGTTCAGTGCTGTCTGTTTGTACGAGATCTCCATCTGCTGGAGTGTGAGGGTAACACAGGTTGACGACATGGAATATTTGCTTTGAAGTTTTCTGCATCTCAGGATTAATTTTACACGATTTTATGGCCCCGTTAAGTTGTCTGGGAAGATCTGATAATAGTTATATAATGGAAACATCTGAGAGTGTTATTATCTGTGCTGAGTTTAAAAGCAGATGTTGATTCCTGGTGGAATTTTCCAGCTCTGTTTAAAACCAAGTAAACAGTCATTTGAGATTAATTTATTATTTGAAAACTTTATTCTTTATTTACCGATATAAAATTGTATCCTTGTATCCATTACTGTCATTTCTACCTATAAATGAATCCCAGATTACATTTATATGAGAAAATACACACATATTTATACATATTTATACATATTTTAAGGAAATGTCTGAGAAATTATTAGAAATTAAATAATAATAACAAATAATTTACCCCAAATTAGTGTCTCCTGTCACCTGATTTACTTCTTTCAGTCTTTCTGACCAATGAAGTTATCAGATCTAATTCTTCTCCTGATGTCAGACTTTCATTAAAGGCTTTAATGTAATGCTGCCATCTAGTGGTGACGGTAACCTTGCACCGAGCTGTATTCAGTGTACACAGCAGGTTACATTAACTGTACAGTGGCTCTACGTTATATGAAGAGGAAGTAACACTGACAGCTTCCTGATACATTAATAGTGTTTAGTTTCTAGAAAGGAACAATAATAAAATCATTACCTGTTTTTGTACGGATCAGTGAACACACCATTGTCTGTATCCAGGCGACAGCTGCCTCAGTTTGGGGTCAAATTTAACATTTTAATGTAAATCAATTTAAAAAATAATGTGTTAAAAAATTAACATTCACAAATATAATGAGTTAAGACCATATTTTAGATTAAAAAGGCACATTTGGGAAGATTTGGAAATAAATTTCTAATTCCACCTTTAGATATTTCTATCTAATGCTCTACTAATGCACCACAATAATGTGTTTTTATGTAATTTAGGGGTTTTTCCAAGAAAATATTTTATATGTATGATTGTTTGTGATTAAATCCGGATATATATAGATTATATATACATATAATTCTACCTTCTGCCCCCTGTCTATCCCTATATGTATCTGTACAACCAGCTAAATATATCTTTATAACTATATTTATTTGAAAACTATTAAAGTTTACTCATTTTATACTCGTTTCACTAACTCAACTATAATGTTTTAGGTGCACAAAGTAAGAAAAGTCCCTTTTAAAAGAGTGTTTCTCCTCTTAAACCACGCAGGCTCAGTTCATTACCGCCATCAGCTGGACTTTATTACGCTCTACATCTGTATTAAACAACACTGCAGCCTTCAGACAGCTCAGCCTAAACAAATGTCCCTTCCTTATTCCTTTAAACTTTTGTAATATGACTCCAGAAATCTGTCTTCAATCCCATAAAAACTTCCTTTTTGAGGGAAGTGGGTCAGGAAAAAATAATAAAAACCCCTGGTATGAATAAAATGTAGGTTACACTCTGAAGATTTATAATTCAAGAAAATAAGAAAATAAAGTAGGTCGCCAGAGATAAATGTGTTTGTTATAGGTACAAATAGAGTCCAGGTTTGTCCTCTGAGCTTTGGGATTTATTCCTGCAGCCTGGAGGGGGAAGCAGAGAGAGAGAGGGAGAGAGAGAGAGGGAGACATGTGTGCATCAGTTGGTATCCTTTGGCAGAGGAAGTCAAAGAGCCAGGAGGATTTCTTTATCTCTATAAACAAGACTGAGCTCTGCCTGTGACGCTGGCATTTCCTGACAGTCTGAAGAGGCAAGTGAAGGCAGCATCAGGGTCTACACAGAGGGAATATTTCTGGAGCTTTAACGCTCTTATTTTGTTAAATTTCAATAAACGTGCATTAAATGAATGTAAAATGTAACATTATGTTGTTTTTTTTTTTAAAAAGGCACTTTCACACGTATATTTATGTCATATCAGCCACATTTTAGTCTCTTTTCATTGGTTACCGGCCAGTTATATAATTGATTTTAAGCTTTTAATGGTCAATAAAGAACTTCAGAGTTTAGCTCCCTCTTTTAAATCACTTCTTACATAAAACAGATCTTAATATAATCAAAATTTCCATTATGTTTTATCTATTATATTGTTGGTTTTATTATATATTAGCGAAGGGTATTTTATGCTCTTACTTTTGTGTCTTTTAAAGTTTAAAACTATTTAGTGGCGTTAGTTTTCCAATATATTTTATCTGCTTTATTGTTGGTTTATTTTATTCTTTTAATTCTACCTCACTTAGTCTATAAGATGTTATTTTTCTTACTTTATTCTGACTTTATTCTCCTATAATGTCTTTAATTATGGTCCCAGCCATTAAAGACACTTTGTAACTGTGCTGTATAGATAAAGTTTATTATTATCATTATTATCTTATTATCTAACATTTACTTTATCTCTTTTATCTCAGGCTGATGCAGAAGACTTAATGCTTTTAGCTGATAAAATATAAACTATATATAAATATGTATTTATTTAGATGTAGATTGAAGCTTATAGTGCACATAATATTCTGTGTTTTATATTTATGGTGACATTGAAGACACCGTATGGCTTTGTGTTGCAGATTTGCTTTTCTAATGTCATAATTTAAGATAAAACTTAACATTAACAAAACATTACAGCAGCACAAGAAGCAAAGAAATACAAATAACCAACAAACCCAGTGTGCATAAATTATGGATATAAGGACATATTTATGTATAAAATTGTAGTTCTGCTCAACAATTATAATAAATATCAAATATTAGTATGTAAAAACACATTATATTAGTATATTATATGAATTAACCAAAGAACAAGGATTTTCCTCAAAACTTGAATTTCAGAATCAAACACTGGATTTTAATTATTGATTACTTTAATGTTGCTGCTGTTAAAATAATACATAATATGCCTGATAGCATTACTTTACCACTTCTTTCTCTCTGTCAAGGATTTCTTTGTGATGTTTGCTTCCCCTTTAATGCTTATTAAATAATACTATGTCTTTTTCCTCCAAACAGGATACTCGGCTTAACAATTTAATGGCTTTGGATCTTGGGAATCATCCATCAGGTACAGGACTCTTATGCAGACAGGAATACTGTATAAGTTGTATAAATTATCTTCTCTATATGTTTTATGATTTTGAAATGGTTTATAATGGAGGTTAAATGTAGTATAATATGTTTTTTATTGTCTATTATAGAGAAGCAACAGTGGGCAGAGAACTATGATCAGCACAATCCAGCAGTCCTTGGAAGTTATCCTGTTGGAGCCGAGATCCACCAAGGGCAGCCGGCTTACCTCGAGGGTGTAATGAAATACTATACTGGGGGGAAAAAAAGTCTCTAATTGATTATATGTAAATATGTGATGTCTAATATGTTGTTGTTTTATTTAATTTTGTTTACAGAACATCCTGCTCCAGTCCTTTCACCTCTCCATCCCAGTATATATCAAATGGAGGTCTCTATCCACTACAGGAAAAAAGAAATGCTAAAAACCACGTTGACCACTAACCTTTATTCATTAGGCCTTTATTATGTATTTTTTTATTTTGTCCTAATAATCTAAATCTGCTTAATAACTAGAAACTAAAGCTGTAAAATAAAAGTAAAAAAGTAATAAAATAGTAGAAATACTCAAATAAAGTATAAAAAACCTCAATATTGTACTTTAATAGGAGCCTAATCGATTAAATATTAACATTACACTGAGAATTAACAGCGTTTAAATCGGCCACGTTGCGCGTTTTGTCCCTCCCCGTCTGCCGTAGCCGGCCTTATCACTCACTACCGGAAGCCGGGAGGTCCTTTTCCCCGCAGACTCCAACATGGTGAGCTGGTTTCTCTCCCGATTCCTCTCTCAGATAATCACTAAACATCGCTTTTCGCCGCGGTTTTGTCGCACACATGTACACCCTAGTGTGAAATACAAAGTCTACGTAAACGATCGATGTGTAAATCGGAGCCAATAGCAGTGATTATTGGCGATTTATCGATGATTTAAAATGACCTAATCCGACTCTTGGGTTTTTTTTTTTTGTGTGTGTTAGCTTGCTGCTAGCTCGCTAAATAAACGTCTCTTCTTAAATATCACGTGTCTTTACACAACCCCCGGGTTATCAATTGTGTTATTGATCACGTCTCCACGTAACAGTTCAATAAAGCACGCGTTAAAATATGTCTGCTTAACCCGGGATAGCGTTAACCCGGACTAGGCCGCAGTCAATGCTAACCAGCGTTCATCCCTCCACCACGTTAGCCGGGCGTGCTCTCTCCTCTAACCCGGGTGTGTGTGTTTGTGAAGCGGCGCCCCTCTCCGCGGAGACCACGTGTGTTTCTGGTTCTGGTTCTGGTTGTGGTTCTGGTTGTGGGGACCGGTGTGTGTCCCGTTTGTTGACCGGGTTTGTGGCTCTCTCCTTCAGGCAAGAGGACCGAAGAAGCACCTGAAGCGCGTCGCAGCGCCGAAGCACTGGATGCTGGACAAGCTCACCGGAGTGTTTGTAAGTCACGTTTCTAACATTTAATGTGATATTTAGTTAGTTTATCGTCTGGTTTTGTGTTTGGGGACTTTAATTGTGTTAATTTTTAATGTGTTTTTGATGTTTTTAGGGGTTTAAAGTGGCTGGTAAGAGGTGGGGGTGGTGTTAAAGCTAGTTTATAATGTTACACATGGTTTTATTTGTCTTTTATCTGGGCTTTAATTCACTTTAATCACGTTTTAGTTAAAGAATAAACCTTTGCTTATACTAATTAGGTGTTTCTAATTTAATACCTGGTTTAAAAAAGTAATTATATGCTTTTTAGTTAACATTTTTACTATTAAGAGTTGCAATTAGGTTAAAAACTATTTAAATGTGCTTAAAGTGTTTAATTTCTGTTTAATCCTTCAGATTATTGCTTAATTCTGTGACTTGAATGTCGTATTGTTTTATATTAGGGGCAGAAACTGCCCGTTTGCTTTATAATGTGACACAAACTAAGTACTTTAATGCTTTTAAAGATTGGCTATGAGACATTTATCACAAAATAATCCTGGAAACTTTGTAAAAAATCTAGAAATTAAATGCTCAATTTGCAGGTTATTTAAAGTTTATATAAGCTACAAACTTTAATTAATATGTACATGCATTTAAGGGATATATTAGGCTTGTTAATGCTGATGTTTGATGTGTTTAGTACTCACATGTGAAGGCTTAAACTGAGTCTTACGCGCTCATAAGTAATGAAACAGACCGTACACAGGTATCCCTCAAAGATAAAGAATCAATCCCTCAGCTAGCTCTCTCTCTCTGATCAATAAAAGTAAATAATAATACGACTTATTCTTCTCTCAGGCTCCTCGTCCTTCCACCGGTCCCCACAAGCTGAGGGAGTGCCTGCCCCTCATCATCTTCCTGAGGAACCGCCTCAAGTACGCCCTGACTGGAGACGAGGTGAAGAAGATCTGCATGCAGAGGTTCATCAAGATCGACGGCAAGGTCCGCACCGACATCACCTATCCTGCTGGATTCATGGGTGAGTTTAATTATGAGATGGCTTGTTCTATTAGTAGGAGATAATTCAGTCTGGTTGGTGTTTTGCTGCTTCTTGTTGTTTGTTTGTTAAATGGAGGCAGAAGGAGCAATGATGAATATTTTGGTTTTGATCAGCAACGAGGTGAAACTACGCAACCAATCCTCTAAGAAGTTCTGAGCTCCGACTGTAACACTTCAATGTTTCTAACTGTCAAATTCTTGTTTAATATTTGTCTTCTGGTCGGGTTGAGTGATGTAGGAGCAAGAGAAAAGTTGCTTGAGTCACAAAAGTTGCTTCTCATGTCGTAGAAACTTAAAAATTGCTCCTCCCCAGTAAGTTTGAAAACCATAACTTGTCAGTTTTTGAACACAGGAGAGACGTCAGCTGTGACTGTAGGCGTCTGATTTTAAAGAAAAGGTTCAGTCTGTGTCTTCGGTTGTCTGAAACTTCAAGCTTTCACGTAGTCGGTCAGTGGATTTGTAACTGAATTTGTCTGTTAAAGACGTGTTGAACAAGGCTGGGATGGATTACAGCCAGTCGTGATGTGTCAGGGTGAGATTGAGGTGACAAAAGGCTCAGAATATACTGTGGTAGAGGCCACACAGTCTATACCTCAGTGGAAACTGAGTCCTGCTTAAGTCGGCTTGATTTGGTGATTAGTGTTTTGTTTTTTTGTGCTGGGATGAAGCCATTTGGAGGAGGACTAGTGATAATTGAACACATTTTACCCGAAACCACAGAACAGATGGGGCAACATGAGCGTGTCCTGCTCAGCTAAATTAGAAATTAGGCGAGAAAACACCAAAACACCTTCACCGTAGAGCAGTCTTCATCCTCTGAGCTGTCACTTTTTGAGAGGATATGAAGGACAGAACACTTTCTGTTTGTTTAGACTTAATGTGTATTGTAGGTTTTTACTTCCCACTGATATAAATGTGGATTTCCTGCTTTACTATGTTCTTTAATGTCAAAATATATAATTCTTTAATACATATCCAGTGAAGGCTTTTAAAATGACCAACGGAGGAGCTGGTGGGTTTTCATCCTCACTTGCAGTCACGCCTCTTTCAGACCTTGTCACCCAGTCCAGTTTTATTTCCACCTTGACGCCGGCCAACAGTCTCATAGGGAGGTGTGGCGTTTTAATTTCCAAATCCAAGGGAAGCCTTCGCAGCATGAGGACCTCGGGGCCTATTTATATACATACACACTGAACACACTGGGCCAGTAGCAGACTATCACTTGGCTACTCTTTTTAAATGCTTCTTAGAATTAATATGTACGTTGTTAATTATGTTTAGGCCTTAAATTACATAATTTGGTTTGTTCTGACTTTATTTCTTTATTTACAAACCTAGAAGGTGTTAAACTCTTAATAAAGCTAAATAAAAACCTGATTTAGACGCTAAAACTCTTCACTGTTTGTGTTTATCCAGATGTGATCAGCATCGAGAAGACCGGCGAGCATTTCCGTCTGATCTACGATGTGAAGGGACGTTTCACCGTCCACCGCATCACCGCCGAGGAGGCCAAGGTAAAAACTGAATCTGGATTTTAAACAACTATTCTTAGCCTCAAGTCCTGTATCATTTGAATTTGTCCAGGGCAAAGAGGGGCGCAAAGGGGTCTTAAAGCTTAAGTACCCGTCGCCTATGTTTGGAAAATCTCTATCACTTCAAGAATGGAAGACAGGAAGGATATGTGGCAAACAGAAAGTTGGAGGTTAATAATACAGATTAAAGCCATTATTTTCAGCAATAAAAAGTTCTTGCTAGATGGCTCGGTTTGTTAAACTGGCTCAGTTTTGAGTCTTTGCAGATTTAATGGGTGTAATCTGCGTGTGAGAAGAAGGGCTTTAAAGATTTGGCTCTTGCCTCTCGCCAAATTTCAGATCAGTGGCGTCTTTCAAGCTGGTTTAATCTCAAAAAAAAAAAAACCTTGGTCAAAATCCTCCACTGAGAATTAGAACAGCAGATTGGCAAAGCGGTGTCTGACGGTTGACATCAAGATGAAAGACTCAAATCTTCTGACTATTGTAGTCCTCGTTTCAATTTGTACCAGATGTGTGTAGGCAGATGTTCTTTTACAGAGTTCCCCGTCTCCACTCAGGGCTGTTTGTGGCTCAGGGTAATCATTATCCTCTTCCTCTGCAGTACAAGCTGTGCAAGGTGAAGAAGCTCATGGTCGGCACCAAGGGAATCCCCCACCTGGTGACCCACGACGCCCGCACCATCCGCTACCCAGACCCCCTCATCAAGGTCAACGACACGATCCGCATCGACCTGGACACCGGCAAGATTACAGATTTCATCAAGTTTGATACTGGTAGGTTCCCCTCAGTGCCGGAACTGTACAGCGAGCTTTATTGATGTCCTCGGATACTTTTAGTGACAGTTCTTCCTCCGTCTGCTCCCTCCCAGCTAACCTGTGCATGGTGACCGGCGGTGCTAACTTGGGGCGTATTGGTGTGATCACCAACAGGGAGCGTCACCCTGGCTCTTTCGACGTGGTGCACGTCAAGGATAGCACAGGCAACAGCTTCGCCACCAGGCTCTCCAACATCTTCGTCATTGGCAAGGTGAGGAACGCGTGGAGATATTCCACAGAGGAGTTATGATGCATGAAAGGAAAATTCACTCTTCAATTGAGGTGGTTTTTGGAGCAATGATGACATTTTTTGGTTTTGATCAGCCATGAAAATACACTACCAATTCCTCTAAGAAGTTCTGAGCTCCTTCAATAGAAAAGTCTTCAGAAATTCATCTTTTAAACCTTTTTTTTTTAAAGCACAAGTTGATCCTGAGATTGTTAAAGTGAATTGTAAAATAGACACTAGCTGTAAACTAAAATAATACATCAAATATCAGCCTTTGTGTTAAATGAATAATGTACAGTCCCTTTAGAAATGCAATTAAATGACATTTAAAAGCTGAAAGCATCAATTCATGAACCCTAATTTCATAATAAATACAAATCATGTTGTTAAACTAAAGTGTTTACACTAGAAATAATGACTAAGTCTACAAAATGCCAACAAACTCCACCATAATAAACAATAGTCTAAGTGCTACTTGGGTCTGACAGATGTGGCACAGAGCAGGTGTTCCTGAGGTTTTTGGAAGTGAACCAACGTCATTAAGAAAATGAAAGAATTGGCAAAAATAAATCACGGCACTGCGTCATCAATTACTAAATTTAAAAACAAGACCAATGTGCATCAGCAGCACTTCCTCGGGGCAAAAATGTGTTTTATATTTGGCTCAGGAACACTAAGTAAGTTGTAGCTATGGAGTTAAGTACAGTTGATGGTCCGTAATAAAGTCTGACGCTCTGGTTTTGGACACGATTGGTGAATCTACCGGTTCAGGTTTTTTCTGCTGATCTCGCCAAAGGCTCATAACTCAGAAATAAAGAGGCAGATATCGAGCGACACTGTGTGTAAAAACCTTTTTATGAATCGTCGTCTGTCCCATCAAATCAAACACATTGAGTGATTACGAGGCTCTGGCCTGTGGAGAGACTCTTTTCTCCGCCGGCTCGACATTTATTTGGCGGCTGACGTTGACCGCAGCTGTCGGCGGCACGCGTGACATTTATTCGACGGCCTCGGCCCCCGCGCTTTTCTTCACCTCACGCTCGAGTGTCGGCCGCCAGATAAATGTTAGCACGATCAAGTGTTGAGCTTCTCTCCTTTTTTTTTAATAAATACTGTAAGACTGACTTTTCTGTCGGCCACAAGAGAACTTAAAGCATTAAATAGTGTAAAATATTATATTTTTAATGGCTGTTGTAATGAAATTATAATGTAAACTATCTTTTAAAGGGAAAGTTTAACAATCTGGACTCTTTTCTGAATAAATAAACTATAAATATGGACGCGTGTATGAATATAAGCATTAATACAACTTAATTTCTGGATTAATTTGGCACTGCATCAATAAATCTGCTCGTATAAAATGTCAAGAATTCCCATTCCCACAGATGCTGCCTTCAAATTCCACGTTTTATCTAAATGTGAGCCCTAAACTAAAACACATCCATTCAATTTACAATCACATGTGACAAAGAAAAGCAGCAATTTCTTTACATTTGTGAAGCAAAACAGAATATTTGGCTTTTTATGCTTGAAGAATCAACTTATCTGTTTATTTTCTGCAGTGAAGTTTAAATCTATTAAGATTTTCCTGCACTGTTGGATAAACAATCGTCCAATGAATTCATTAAACATGCAAACATTGAGAAATACCGCAGTTTAATGAAGAGCAACAAGTTTCCCAGACTCCACCTGTTTGCCCTCCACTTTTTTTTTTAATCAACATTAACAAATGAACATGTTTTTATTCTTTGTCTCCAGGGCAACAAGCCGTGGGTGTCCCTGCCCAGAGGAAAGGGAATCCGTCTGACCATCGCCGAGGAGAGAGACAAGAGGCTGGCCGCCAAACAGGGCAGCAGCTAAAGTGTCCACACAGACAACCTGACACCTGGTTTTCAAAATAAACTGTTATTTACAAAACACTCTGCTTGTCTCTTAATGTGGTTTTTTTTAACTTCTAGTTGGTTCTCTATAGGCTGTTTTCATGGCAGACATTTTGGCTACATTCAGTTTAGGTGGAAAGGTATTTTATGAGCTCACTGACTTGTAACTGTTGAAAAAGGTCTATTTAAAATTTAAAATTTATTTAAAGTTGAACTAGTAGGATGTTTTTGCTCATTAATACTCTAAAACTTGATACTGTAATTTAACTAACTGAAACTATATCGAACATGTTGAGTAAATAAATATAACTCAATTGTTTTAAGTTAGAGAAACCTTATCGATCAGGTAGCTTTAATTAATTTAATATTTTTAATTTGTCATTTTTATTTGACCTTTGAAAACAATACTTATTAAAAAGTAACAATCAGGAATGTTTCTGTAACTTGAGTTAGTGTCACCTAAAATAAAAAGTAAAAGCTGTTTAAGAATCTTTTTGAACTTAAATAATTGAGTTTCTTTTAAATTTGTTGGATTTGATCAATTTAATCAATTATTTTGAGTTAAAATGAATTTAGTTGAACAGGTTTTTTTTATACAGCAGACATTTTGTCGACTTCATTATCACAAGCTGCATTTTAATTTACAACAAAAATAAAAACTGTCCCTTTAATTCCTCCGCCTAGAGGAACTACTTTTTCCTGAGGCTCTCTGGCCGATAACTAAACCTTCTATTCTTCTCACCGACAATCCCTCCATCTTTCACCTGGAGGCCGTCCGTCATCCCTTCCTCATCCTGTCTAATCCCTCCATCCTCTCCTCTCTCTCCATCCATCCCACCGTGCATGCATCCATCTGTTTACGCTCCTAATCCCTCCGCTCCCTCCGTTCCATTCTCATCCTCTTATTCCCTCCTTTTCCCACCTTCCATCCTTTCTTTCTCCCTCTATGGATCTATCTTTCCTTCCTTTCTTTGATGTTTTCTACTTTTTCTTTCCATCTCTCCTTTCTGCCTCCATAAGTTTCCTTCATTCCTTCGTCTTTCCCACCTTCCTACATTCCCTCCTTACTTCCTCCTTTCCTCAAATTGATTCCCACCATCCATTCTCTCATTTCTCTCTTCCTTCGTTCCGGCCTCGTCTTTCCTCAGTTTTCATTCGTCTTTCTCCCTCCATCCTCTTTTACATCTATCCATTCCCTCTTTTGCTCCCTTCCTCTTTTCCTAGATCCCTCTTTCCTTCCATCCTTCCATCCTTCCCTAAAGAGTTTTCTCTTTTTCTCTCCTCTCAATCCTTTTCATCTTTCATGTGCAACCATTCCTCCAGAATCTTGTCCTCTTCCTCTTTTCCTAGATTCACCCTTCATTCACCCTTCTGTCTTTCCTTTCCTCCTTCCATTTATTCCTACCATCCTTCCTTAACTTTCTCTTTATCTCTTTCTTGAGATCTTTCCCTCAGTTTCCTTCATTCCTTCATCTTTCCCACCTTCCTACATTTTCCCTAGATCCGTCCTTACCTCATCCTCCCTCACCTCCTTCCTTCCTCAAATTGATTCCTACCATCCTTTTCTCTCTTCTTAATCTTCTCTACCTCCTTTATAGTGTCCTTCCATCCTTTGTTTCAATATTACTTATTTTATCCCCATCTTTCTTTGCATGTATCCCTTCATTATTTCCTAGATCATCCTCCCTTCATCCTTCCTTCCTTCCTTCCCTAAATCATTTTCTCACTTCTCTTAATTTTTACCTCACCCTTCCCGATCTTCCAATTTTCATATTTCTTTCTCTTCATCTTTATTTGCAACTATTCCTCCATAATTTGTCTCTTTTCCTCTTTTCCTAGACCCCTCCTTCCTTCTATCTTCTTCACCTCTTTTTTGTTTCCTCTTTACAGTCTCCCCTCTAAATCTTCTCTACCTCCTTTTTAGTGTCCTTCCATCCTTTCTGTTTCAACATTCCTTTCTTCCTTTCTCCTCCTTTTGCTTCCTCCTTCGTTTCTTAGACCCCTCTTCCCTTCAGCCTTCCTTCCCTCCATCCTTCCTTCCATCTATCCCTGTTTGAATTTGCTCTAGTATTGCTTCTTCTTTCAACCTCCCTCACCTTCCTTCTCTACATTCATTCCTCCCATCCTTCCCGAAATAGTCTTTCTCTCAACTTTTCTCCTTCTTTCCTCTTTTTTACCCTCTTCCTATCTTCCCCTCAGTCCCCCCTTTTTCTTGACCTCCCATACTTCCCCAAATAGCGTTTCCCTCCATCCTCCTTTGCATCGATCCCTCTTCTTTCCCTCCTTCATGCCATCTTTCACCCTCCCGCTCCATCCTGTCTCCCTTTTTCCCGTCACCGATTCCTCCCTCCTTCCTCCCGTCCCTCCATCTTTGCCTCCCATCTCTCTGTGTTCTGACTTCAGTACCAGTCCATATGGCGACTGCTGCGATACAGCCTGCTCTGCGCTGCAGAAACCTGGCCTGGCACACACCGCCTCTGTGTGTGTGTGTGTGTGTGTGTGTGTGTGTGTGTGTGTGTGTGTGTGTGTGTCACGTATCCTGTTCTGGCCCTGAGATTCACCTGTGAGTGTGTGTTTGTTAGGGAAAAGATCTAAAGAGCACCGCTGCCCTTCTCTCCTCTGTGACGTCCACTTCTAATCCCACCGCTCCCAACACATGAATCATATCATAACAACACACGCTGCGGGAACGTGTGTCATCGTCGTGTCTGTGTGTGTGTGTGTCTGTAGAGGGGCATGGCTCGCTCCCATGACCGTCTGCTCTCTGACACTCTGTACAGTACAGTAATCCATCATTTTTGGCAGGGAGACGTAAGGACAGTGTGTGAGGACGGTGAGTCTGATGGGAGGAGTATTCAGATTCTGCACTGAAGTCAAAAGCAGCAAAACCACCCTGTTAAAATACTGAACTACAAGTAAAAACCTTTAAAACTAAATGTTTACCTAAAGTATCAACAGTAAAAGTACTCATTGTGCAGTGAAATGGTTCCTATTTGAGGTTTTTGGATTCATATTGCTGCTGTTTTAATGTGTATGTTGCATTTTACAGCTGTAGATGTTTAAGGTTGAGCTCATTTGAACTACTTTATAAACTGTTGGGTAGTTTAATCTAAAGCATGATGCATCATGTTTTATAAGATTACATATGTTTGTGGCATCACTGTCCTGTGAGAACCACATAGTATCTCTATATAGTCGACTTTTCATGTTTTCCAGCGAATCCAAGAGAGTCTTGAAATTGTTTATGTAGTATAAAGGACCTGTATGTTTTTTTTTTTTTGTGGCATCTAGAGGTGAAGTTGTAGATTGCAGCTAACTGAACAACACTTCAGTGGCTGCGAAACTCGTAGAAAATGTCTAACCTTTGGATTTAGAGTAGAGATTGTATCGTCTGTTCATTCCAAGTCCAAAAATTCCCATGAGATCATTTTAAAGGTGTGTAGAATTTAGTGGCATCTAGTGGTGTAGTTTCAGATTGCAACTGACTCGTTTCACCCTCACTTTCCAAGCGTGAAGGAGAAACTACGGTGGCTGTGAAACGTGCAAAAAAAATGTGAAAGGACCCTTTTACAGTCAGTGAGTGGTTGTAGAAACATGGTGAAGAAAAACCCTCTGTAGATAAAAAAAACAGCTCATTCTAACAAACAAACAACTATTCCTATATCAGATGATTAAACTCTAATGAAAACATACCTGTGAATATTATATTCCTGCCAATAGATCCTCCTAAATGTTTCACACTGGACCTTTAATAAGTAGGAGGATTTTCTCAACCCATAAAAGAAGCAAATAGTGGGCAGAAAGGGTGTGATTGAGCAGTTATTACAGACATATCGAGGTGCACTTGCTCTCAGTTTTCCAGCTGTAATAAACTAGAATTATCCTGCAATGATAAAAGTATCTGAAATTGAAAACAGATCATTTGAATCCACCCGCTGTGACGACGAACTCTGACCTTCACGTGACTCGAGGGGCTGCAGTTTAAACACATCTGCGCGTGAGGTAACGGCGGATCCTAAATACTTTTAGGGTTTTTGTGGTTTAACTAACAAATCAAAAGTGGCAGCGTTGTCCCCATTTGTATTGGCCCGGGACCAGTTCTCATAAACAAATAAGTGCACACACACACACACACACACACACACACACACACACACATATATGTACACAAACAGTCTTTGAACATTTGAAATATGAGACTCGCCAGACGCGTGCTTTGCTCTGGTCCTGCTCTGCATCCCCCTTGTGAGCGGAGCAACAATCACATTTGATTCACACGCATTGCGCAGTCACACGGAGGCTTTGAAGTGTGTTTTGGCTGGATGGTGCGAGAAGAGACAGAAACGAGCTGCAGAGGAAAAAAACATCCACTCAAAAAGAGCAGAAAACTAAAACGTCGAATTCTGTTACAGAGGATTAAACACGGAGCAGGAAGGCTGCACGCTGTGGATGTATCTGCATAATGTATCTATCCTGCATCAGTTCTGCACATTAACTGTTATAAACATCACAAACAGAGATTATTATCAGGTTGTACAGTTAAATCAATCAATTATCAATCAAATCTGTGTATAAAAGTTTATATATAACTTTATTTTTCTGTGTATTTTCTATTGTGAGCTGCTGTAACAAGAATGTCCCCGGTGTGGGATGAATAGAGTCTTATCTCATCTCGTCTCGTCTCATTATATTAATTTATTTAATATTATATTATATTGTCTTTTCTTGTGTTATCTTTATCTTATCACTTTAATTTAGATTAATTTTTAGAAAACAGAAATAATGATTAAAATGATCAGTTTTGGCCACATTTTACACTAAGTGAGGCTGAAGTTCACTAAAAAATAATTATTAGAAAGAATATCTGAAGATTTAGAAATAAAACAATTTATTGATTTCTAATTCCACCTCAGTGATCTTTAATAATGTTTTGTTTTTGAGTTAAAATATCTTCATTTTGGGCTTTTTCCAAGCAAACTGATATTAGTGATTGTTTGAATCAGCGTATCAACGTGCTGCATCTTAAGAAAACACATGCA